ATACATAAACCAGTAACTTAGTTGTTTTTTATCATTAGCAAGTAAAGTGTGCTATACATAATTATATGTGCTGTACTTTTTATTTTTATTTATTTATTTTTTTTGAGACAGAGTCTTGCTTTGTTGCCCAGGCTAGAGTGAATGCCATGGTGTCAGCCTAGCTCACAGCAACCTCAAACTCCTGGGCTCAAGCAATCCTGGTGCCTCAGCCTCCCTAGTAGCTGGGACTACAGCCATGCGCCACCATGCCCGCCTAATTTTTTCTAATATATTAGTTGGCCAATTAATTTCTTTCTATTTATAGTAGAGACGGGGGTCTCATTCTTGCTCAGGCAGGTTTTGAACTCCTGACCTCAAGCAATCCTCCCGCCTCGGCCTCCCAGAGTGCTAGGATTACAGGTGTGAGCCACTGTGCCCAGCCTGTGCTGTATTTCTTTCTATTTATAGTAGAGACGGGGTCTTGCTCTTGTTCAGGCTGGTTTTGAACTCCTGACCTCGAGCAATCCGCCCGCCTCGGCCTCCTAGAGTGCTAGGGTTACAGGCGTGAGCCACCGTGCCCAGCCTGTGCTGACTTTTCAAAAGCCCATCCACGAGTGTCTTCTCGTCCGTTCAGCCACGTCTGTCCGCGGTGCCTGTAGCCCTGGGACCTGCGCTTGCCCATCTCTGTGTTTCCTCCGCCCCACGCCCGCCCTGCGTCCCCTCACCGCCCTCTGCCCCACACGTGCTGTTCTGCCACAGCCTCTGCCTGACATGCACGGCTGCAGGCGCATCCCCTGTGCCCTCTGGACGCGGTGCTGCCAGAGGGGCTGTTTGGGGAAACCCGTCTGTGGCCGTGAGTGTCGGGAAGTCATGGCTGGACACACAGCGCTAGGTTCTGTCTCCTTTCCCTGAACGCTTCCAGGCTGTGAGCCGTCCTTTTCCTGCGCCTTTGGCTTTTTGTGGGTGTCCCTGACGCCTCCTCCCACGCTGTGCCTGGCACTGTCCAGGCGAGTTCTCTGCCCCACACTCGTTGAGTCTGAGCTCTGGGATCTTGTTTTGTTGGCCGTTGTTTCTCCAGAGGCTTCTCTCTGCCTGCCTTTTGTGTCCCTGTGGGGCACTCCTGATGGGCCGGCCCTCCCAGCGGCGACCTTCCCTGTGCAGGGCCCGGAGCCACGTCTCAGCCGGCGGGCAGGCGGGCACCCCGTCGGTGGGACCACCTGGCGCCTTGCTGCTGTGAGCACTGGGATGTCCAGTCTCTGCCCCTCTTCAGAGCTGGCACTTGAGACAGACGTGGGACCTGCCGGACCTCTAAGTGGCCTTGCGTGGCACCCGTGACCTGGGCTCTGCTCATGGAGCTGGGCACAGCTGCCTCCTGCATCTGTCTCTGGTGCCCCTGTAGTGAGCTTGGCCCAGCAGGGAGCTGGCAGGTGGATGCAGGCCCTGGGTGTCCACACTGGTGCCCCTTGCAGGGCTGGGTCCTGGTCCCAGGGCCGCAGCAGGGGTTTGCACCGCATTCCTGCAGGGCAGATGCCTGGTGTGGCGGGAGTGGGTCTCATGGCCCTTCCTGGTCTCAGGCCAGCATCTCCTTCGCTTTGTTCTGTCACTGGGACATTCTCATCATTTCTCTGGGGTCCTCTTGGTTTGCTCTCACTCTGACATTTATAACCTGCCTCAGTTTCTCACTCTGTGCTCCTTTCCTTCCCCTCACCCTGGCCCTGTGGCTCCGTGCTCCCATTTGGGGCATGTTCTTGCCCCTTTCACGCTGATGGTGGCCCCCGGCCATGGCCTCCCCGTGGGGTCCTGGGGCCGTCGATCCACTCCCCAGGAGTCTCCAGCCCGGCCTCTGCCTCTCCTGGCGCCTCTAGCTGTGCGGTGTGTTCCGCACTGTCGTTGGGGCAGTGCTGCCTGTCGAGTCTGTTTCGTCTCCTTTAAAAATTGCTACTAAAGCCTGCGAGAGGCAGTACCCACACAGCACAGGTGGGTGGCGTCGGGGAGACACAGGAGTTTCAGGGTTGTCGGTGGCAGCATCGAGGGAGCCCTGCGTTTCTGATTTGCGCGTTCTGGGTCACGCGTCCCTCTGCCCGCGCCTCAGCAAACGCTGTGTGCTTTCGTTCCTAGGCACGCCTGCCACTGCAGCACACGAGGATCCAGGTTTGTGAAACAAACAGTGATTTCTGCATGGTGTGTGTGTGTTTGCGTTAGATTCTGCAAATTATTTACTAAAGAGGAAAAGTACTCGAGAGCTTTTGTGGCAAACTGTTAAAATCAAACTATAATATTCAATATTAATTCATAAAAATTGGCAAAGTTGTTCTATTTTAATGCTGTAGCAAAATGCAAGCATTTCTCTAACCGTGTTCACAACAGTTGCTAAGCTGTGCTGTTTTTGTAGGAACTGATGTTTTGTGGCATTATGGTTGTTCAGTGCTGGGTCACTGCTCTGGGCCTCCTGGGGGTGTCCAGGGGTCCCGGGATCCACTGCAGCCCCTGCCTGGTCTAAGCCCCCAGAGGCCCAGCATGCTGAGCCTGGCGCCTCGTGCGGCCCCGAGGGTGGTTGTGTCTGTGCCGGGGGAGCCTGTCTGGCCGGGGAGCGCTGACTGGGACTGCACGCGGCCTAGGGCCCTTGTCAGTCTCAGAGATTGCGGGCGCGGTGTCACAGCTGCACGTGCCCGGCTCATTTACCGCAGCTGCTGGCTTATTGGCATGAAGATGTATTGAGAATGTTACGCATTCTATGGTAAGGATAGCTTGTCTTAAAGGACTGACAATTTTTAAAAATAAAAATGATCAAATTTTGAAAGCTAGTGAAATGTAAATAAAAATTTATGAATTTAAATTTCAGTTTTGAGGTGGTTTGAACAGTTCAGGGCTCAGCAGCAGCAAGCCCTTTCTCTCAGGACCTCGTTCCTCTGTGGCTTCAGCTGGCCTGGGCTGTCCAGAACACCTGGGCACTGTGTAGCCGGCAGGTTGGTGGAAGCGCTCTCTGGGCGCCACAAGCTTGGGCTCTGGCGAGGCCGTCCTCTCCTTCTGAAACGGTGCCTTGCACACGGAGCTCCCCAGAGGGGAGGACAGCTGGGTCCTCCTGTGGCAGAGGCAGGAGGGCCCCCTCCCCAAAGCCCTTTTTCTAAGCGTTAAGCCCAGCCGTGCGGGTGGAGCCCTCTCGGCCTAAGCACCTCTTAATGGCCTCACCTCCAAGACCATCATGTTGGCAACTAGATTTGAACACTCGCTTTGCAGGAGAGAGAAGTTTACACTGTAGCACCCATTTAGTTTTAGATTTGCTTTTGACTTACCAATTGCTTACACACTTTTCTCCAAGCCATGCCAGCCCTGGGTATTCAGTGCTGTGAATGGATCTGCCGTGAGCCTCTACCCTGGGTGTAGCTGAGATTGTGTTCACGTGGGTGGAGGTTTGAAGCTACAGTTCTCTGTATCAGAGAATATATGTGAAGATATAATCCCTAGAAAATTACCTGATATGTTACTTGAGAGCACCTACACATATTCTTCTCAGGCTTTAAATATTATTTCTTTTAGCTAATTTTCATTGAAAAGACATACATTGGGCTGGGCATGGTGGCTCATGCCTGTAATCCTAGCTCTCTGGGAAACCAAGGTGGGTGGATCGTTTGAGCTCAGGAGTTCAAAACCAGCCTGAGCAAGAGCGAGGCCCTGTCTCTACTAAAAATACAAAGAAATTAATTGGCTAACTAGAAATATATAGAAAAATTTAGCCAGGCATAGTGGCACATGCCTGTAGTCCCAGCTACTAGGGAGGCTGAGGCAGGAGGATCACTTGAGCCCAGGAGTATGAGGTTGCTGTGAGCTAGGCTGACGCTATGGCATTCTAGCCCCAGCAACAGAGTGAGACTCCGTCTCTAAAAAAAAAAAAGAAGACATATTTTTTATTTTTTCAAAAGTAATTTGAGCTGGATGTGGTGGTACGCGCCTGTGATCCCAGGACTTTGGGAGGCTGAGACGGGAGGCTCATTTGAGCCCAGGAGTTGGAGGCTGCAGTGAGCTATGATTGTGGCACTTACTCCAGCCTGGCAATGGGGCAAGACCCTGTCTTTAAAAATAAAAAAAGTAATTTATTTAACTTTATTTTCAGTGGGTATTTGATTGAATCGTGGACATGCCAGGATGCAGGCTTGGTGCATGGTAGATGTGGGCTTGCGCTGGCTCTGGGGCACAGGGGCACCCCCAGGACTGTTGCATCACTGTATGGTCTCAGGAAGGGGAGGGGGCGTGGAAGCGCCCTGCGCTCCAGCCCTGCGCACCAGGGTGGCTGGACGTGGCTCTGCTCCTTCCCAGGCCCCACAGCGTGCCCCGTGGAGATCGGGGTCTCTTCTGTGTAGCACCACCATCAGAAACGCATGTGTGCTGCTCCCTGCCTGATTCAGGTGCAGCCTCTGGGGTGTGCAGGTTTCCTCCACCTCTGCTTTCTTTGCATCGTTAGCACTTCTCAAGGAAGTGGAATGTCTGACCAGGGAGCAGTTGGAGACGAGGAAGCAGTCTGAGAAGGACCGCGCAGCCCTGCTCTCCCAGATGAAGGTTCTGGAGTGCGAGCTGGAGGAGCAGCTCTCTCAGCATCAAGGCTGCGCCCGGCAGGCCGAGGAGATCACCGCCCTGAAGCAGCAGATGGCTTCTCTGGACAAGCACTTGCGGAACCAGAGGCATTTCATGGATGTAAGGATTTTGAGTAATACGTTTTATTTGCATCACCAGAAGTCATTGTAGCATGACCTTCTTTAGGTCATTAAATAAGCTTCTGGGACGTGACACTGGGGACGAGTCTCCAACTCTCCACTTCTGCTCTCTTGGCTGGCACAGCGGACATCGCCCACATTTGGTGGGGAGGCTTCTGAGGGATGCCCTTGCCACGTCCAGGCCCACGCTCTTCCCTGCAGCCCCGAGAGGATCCTGGGTGGTCGGGTTGTGCCCTGCGTCCTGGGAGGCGTCTGTGCAGGGCTGTGCCTTTTGGATGTTGCCGTCTGTTCTTGCCGCGTCTTGTCTTCTGTCCTCAGGGCTCGAGATGTTGTCAGTGTTTCACAGCTGCTTCTGTGTTGCTGGGCGGGTGGCGTGTGCAGCCTGCCACACACGCCCCCCAGCTTGCTCCTGACATGCCACCTCTTGTCCCAGGAGCAGGCCGCCGAGCGGGAGCACGAGCGCGAGGAGTTCCAGCAGGAGATCCGGAGGCTGGAGGCGCAGCTCTGCCAGGCAGCCAGGCCACAGCCCCAGGGCCTCCTCGACAGCCCCGTAAGCAAGCCCGCCACCCACCGGGCCTGGGGGAGCCCTTGTCTGCAGTGTTTTTAAGCTCTAACTTTCTTCGCATTTTTGCCTTTCATGTGCGGGACAACAGCAGCACGCAGGACTGGATGAAGAGGTAAGGACGGGCAGCCCCGCCTCTGCGCTGTCCCGATGCCCTCTCGGCCACGTTGGGGGCCATCTGCACTGTCTGCTCCCTGCTGGTCCTTCTTGCTTGGGGCTGCAGTCATGGCTTCCTCTCATCAGAGATAGCTCTAATGGTTTGCTTATGCTTTTTTAATTAAACTCATTCTGGGGTCACAGTGGGCTCACACACACTTGTGAGTAGGCCTCAGACCCTGTGCCTGTGCCCAGTTCCAGTGGGGGCCTCTCGGCCCTGGTGCTCCCTGCCTGCAGGGCTGTGCCCGGCCCGACCCGGCCTCACTGGACCCTGGCAGCCGCTCACCTGTCCTCTGTTTTTGTAACTCACAAATGGAATCTTTCCTGTGTTACCTTCTGGGACTAGTGATTTCCACTGCATCTGAATCCCTGGAGACTCATCCAGGTTGCTGTGTGTATCCGTAGTTTGTTCTTTTTTGTTTTTGAGTACTCCTTTCTATTAAAATAAATTTTATTTTACTGGCAAGTTTTGTATTATAAAGAGAATACTGTTAGTAATACAGCTCTATCATATCTTTCCTTAGGTTTCACTGCAAACCTAGGTCTAGAGAAATGTGTAGAATGTCCATTTTCTCCGCTGTCAGTTGTATTGTGTACTTTTTAATTTGGAAGATATATATATTTTTAAATAGCCTGTTGTATTTCTTAAGAATTTTTTGTTGTTTTAGGTGGAATTGTTACAACAGAAGTTGAGAGAAAAATCAGATGGATTTAATGAATTGGTTATAAAGAAAGAGTTGGCAGATAGACAAGTGCTAATCCAGGAAGAAGAAATTAAACGTCTGGAAGAGATGAATGCCAACACCAGGAGAGAAGTGGTCCGGCTCCAGGAAGAATTGGAGAAACAGAAAAAAATTGTTATAGAATTACAAGTAAAGTGGGGCGTCCAGGCACTGCGGCGTGGGCATGAGGTGGGGGCGGGTCTGCTTGTCTGCTCACTTGGGCTGCAGAGCCTGTGCCAGAAACAGAAGAGCAGACGGGCCTGGTGATTGGCTGGTGGGTTTGCTGTGACTTCGCTGGAGAGACTGGCTGTTATTTACCATAGTAGGATTTTGTACAGATTTTATACCAGTTCTTTATGTCTCAAGAACTCTGAATTTTTCTTTTCCTTTTCTCTTTTTTTTCTGAGACAAAGCTTTACTCTGTTGCCCAGGCTAGAGTTTTGTGGCATCAGCCTAGCTCACAGCAACCTCAAACTCCTGGGCTCAAGCGATCCTCCTGCGTACGCCCCCCTGAGTAGCTGGGACTATAGGCATGCGCCACCACATCTGCCTAATTTTTCTATTTTTTGTAGACATGAGGTCTCGTTTTCGTTCAGGCTGGTCAAGAACTCTGAATTTATCCATAGTAGTTTCATAAAGTAAATAATTTAAAAATTAAGGCTTAAAAAACTTTTTTCACCAAATGCTTTGGTTAGAGCGAGTTATAATTATTTTGAGTTTAGGGATGTCTGTCACCTTCCCAGTGACAGCATCATACTCTGAATCATGCGCTGGTGATATTTCCTCGTCTGTGTCGGTCAGGAAACTGCTCGGGCAGGGTCCCCCTTGTGGCTGGGTGGGTGCCTGTCTGCACCTCGGGAAGCAGCTGTACCTCCTTTTTAAGCATTTGGCTAAAACAATTGAACTTCTGAGTTTTCATTATTTTATGTCACTGGAGGTTAAAGGTTACTTGAGATGAGGCTCAGTGAGAAATTGTATTTTAGAATCAGTGCTTGGCCCTCAGACACAGACCCTGCTTTGGGATGTGGTGCGGTTTCCCTGGGTGTGTCTGGGTCTCTTGCAGGTGGGGACTGCTGGGTGGGTCGGCTCCTGCTGGAGGGTGGAGCTGCCCCCCACGTCAGGCCCCGGGAGGGGTGCAGTGACCCTCCACCTTTGCACACGCGTGCTAGGCTTTCGGGTGTGGGGTGCAGAAAGTGTCTTCTTTTCCCTCCACAAAACTGGACCATATGTACAACTTTGTATTCCTATTTCTTCCATGCTTCATATGCTGTGGATGTTTTCTTCACATTAAGTGTTGTTTGAAAACTTCCTCACAGGCAGTTAATGCTACACTCATTGCATGGATGTACCAGTAGCCACTGCTCAGTTTTTTTGGCTTGGTCTTTCCAATTTTTAGAAAATTAGTAAGTATATTTTAAAATTAGATATATTTTAGAAAAGTATATTTTAGAAAATTAGTAAGTAAATATACTGGATATTTTTGTACCCTGTTGAATGATTACTAAGGACAAATTCCCCACAGTGGAATTGTGGATACACACTGTGGCTCTCAGTGGGGGTCACTTTCCTCCCAAGGCCGACTTCTGTGCATCCCTGTAGGTTTGCTGAGTTGCTGAGTGCAGGCGTGTGCAGGTGTGCCACTGTGGCGTATGTTTTAACAGACAGCAGTGTGAAGTCCCTGATTCCTAAATATTTGTGTGAAATAAATTTCCTTCTTGTTGCTAAATAGGATAAAGAGGCATTAAAGGAACAGCAGATGACACACTTGCCTCTGGAGTCCACACCGCAGTCTGAAGCGGGTGAGGGCAGGTGTCCCTGGCCTGCTCCTGACAGCCCTCCTGCCGGTGCCGAGGCACAACGGGAGGCAGCACAGGGAGCGCCCCTGCAGCATGACGGCGAGGTAGGCGGGAGCAGGGTTGGGACCCAGCCCTGGATGTGGAGTGGCTGACAGCCTCAGCACCCAGAGACTGCGGCTGGCGGGTCTGCCACTGCCGTAGTTCTTAGTAATTCTATTGTTTTCACGTGCATAGAGGGGTGATAACTGTTTTACGCATGTATTTTTAAATCTATCAAAGGTATTTTAATGATTATTAAACCAATTAAAATACTAGATAATTTTTAATACTTCTGTTTTAATGAAAGGTCTTAGACTTAAAAGGACACCTGGAGGAGATTAAAGATGACTTAGCAAATAAAAACGAGGCGCTGTATCTGAATTTAAAATCAGACGTGCAGAACACGCAGACTGCCGTGAGCATCAGAGACCTTGAAGAAGAGAATGCCAACCTGAAGGTACGCTAAACAAGGTCCACCTTGACACCTGAGTTTGGGTTGATGTTCTAGGTGCTGGGGCCAGCCACAGGGGTGTGCAGTCACACCTTCCCAGACATCCCTCGTGGCCCGCAGTTCCAGAAGTCTTTGCCTGGGCTGCGACTGCAGCAGTTCTGGGACTTCCCAGGGGTCCGGAGTGAGGAGCCAGGGGCCCCACTCCAAGCTCTTCTTCCTGTTGGCAGCACCCATAGGGTCTTTGGTGGAGTAAAATTGCAGGAGAGGCACTTCCCTAATGACAGAAACCGTGAGGAGATGCAGCCTCGCTTTGGAGGATGTGAATGGCTTTGGCCGTCTTAAGCTGTGCTCTTCTAGAAGAGGTGATGTTTAGTGTGGGTCCTCTCTGTTAAGCTTCCCCCTGGCAGGATGGGAAAAAATCTGTTTTTAAATCTTCTCTCTTATTTTAATGTAGCTGGTCTTTTGAAGCAAAAAAGAAAACCAACCTTTTTGCAGTGGAGATGACGTTGAAAGTTGCAAAGAAAGCGTCACTTTATGAGGTTATGAGGCAGCCTTGAAAGGCATAGGTCAGACCGCTGTGCGTGGTGCCGCACGGCCCAGGCTCTGCCGGTGAACTGAGGGCCTGGAAGACGGCTGAGGGATCATGTCATTCATGGCTGACTCTCACAAAAGTCGAGTCTGTAAGATCTTAAACTATCTCCAGTGAAAGGGGACTTTTAGGCTGATCCTAGTACTAATTGTCTTTTCAGTGTGAACCCTTTTTATTTTATTTTTTAATTTTTTAATTTTTTTTTGAGACAGAGTCTCACTGCGTTGCCCGTGCTAGAGTGCCGTGGTGTCCGCCTGGCTCAAAGCAACCTCAAACTCCTGGGCTCAAGTGATCCTTCTGCCTCAGCCTCCCGAGTAGCTGGGACTACAGGCATGTGCCACCATGCCTAGCTAATTTTTTCTATATATATTTTTAGTTGGCCAATTAATTTCTTTCTATTTTTAGTAGAGACAGGGTCTTGCTCTTGCTCAGGCTGGTTTCGAACTCCTGACCTTGAGCAATCCTCCTTCCTCGGCCTCCCAGAGTGCTAGGATTATAGGCATGAGCCACCATGCCTGGCCCTGTGAACCCTTTTTAAAATTTTGAAACAGAGTCTCGCTCTGTCAGCCCGGCTAGAGTAAAGCTGCATCTTCATAGCTCATAGCAACCTCAAACTCCAAGGCTGAAGTGATCCTTCTGCCTCAGCCTCCTGAGTGGCAGGGACTGTAGGCGGGTGCCACTGCACACTCATTGTTGAATTTTTAGTAGAGATGAGGTCTCGCTCTTGCTCAGGCTGGTCTTGAACTTCTGAGCTTGAGTGATCCTCCTCCTTCCACCCCTCCCAGAGTTCTTGGGTTATAAATATGAGCCCCTGCCCGGTCCAGTGTGGATTCTGTTACTAGAGGAGAAGCAGATAAGAGCACAGTTTATTTTGGTGATTGTCTTGTAATAAATCTCCTTGAGAAATGCAGTAATTGATTAGTTTGAAAGCCAAACTAATATGTCATTTTAAACAGAGAGGACTTTAATAGAAAAACACTTTGAAATTTGAATTTCTAATTTCCAAACTTCAAAGTACAGGCTGTTTAACTGGGACAGTTCACATCTGCACGGCTGGGGGAGCGTTTCGAGTAGCAGCGCACTGGCTATTGGCTTTGCTGACACGCTTACTGCTGCTGTTCCGCAGGCGTTTCTGCACGGCGAGGAGAGGAAGATGGCGCGGTGAACCGGCAGCTGCAGCTGCTGAGGGTTCTTTGCCTAACCCAAGGTCACAAAGATATTTCCCTGTGGTCTCATGGAAATTTCATGGTTTTATTTTGCATTCAGGACTTTGGTATATTTTAAGTTTATTTTTCGGCACATATATCCAATTGTTCCAGCACCATTTGTTGAAAACTCTTCTTAGCCCATTGAAGGCATTCACTCACCCCTTTCTGGTTGTGGTGTCAGGGTAGCACTGGCTCCGTGAATGAATCGTCCCCTCTTCTGTGTTCTGGAAGGTCATATAGAATCGGCGCCATGTATTCTTTACAAGTTGAATAGCATTGTTCAGTGAAGCCATGTGGGCTGGTGAGTTCTTTTTTGGAGTTTATTAAAATTACAGATTCTATTTTCCTACTAGTTGTGGTTGCATGAATGTTTCACACTGGGATATTTTTGGCCATTGTTTGTTGAGGGTCTTTTCCCTCACCCGCCCCTCCCCTGTCTGGAGGTGGCGGTGGCGGCAGACGCGCCCTGCGGTGCCTGCGTCCCTCGCTCAGTTGACGTTCTGCCCTTCTTTTCCTTTCTGCGTCTCATGGGGTCATCTGTGATTCTTTAAGTTTGCAGACGCTTTGTCATGTTGAGTATTTTTTTAAGTCCATTGAGTGAATTTTAAAATTTCAGACATTGTGACTCTTAGGTGTAGAGTTTTTATTTCTTTTTATAGTATCTGTTCTTCTGTCAAGATTTCCTATCTTTTTGTCTGTTGGGAGGATGCTTTTCTTTATGTCTGTGAGCACAGCTGTGATGTCTGCCTCTACATCCTGGTTTGCTTTTTGTGCGTTTTGTCATCTCTAGGTTGGTTGCTGTTGGTTGTATTTGCTGCTGATTTTTTTTTTGTGTCTTGAATAATTTTGATTTACATTCTTGATGTTCTGCAAATTATGCCGTGGGGACTCTGGGTTCTGAAGAGCGTTGCAGCTTTTGTGTCAGCGGCTGTGAGCTTGGCTGCACTCGGGCTCACCTGTCCTGCCTGCAGAGGCAGCCGTTGAGACCGGGCAGAGCTCACACATGAACTCGAGGTTTTCCTGCCCTCCTCTGTCCCTCTGGGAATACCCCTTGCTCTCCACAGCCTCCTGGACCTCATCGTGCCACGCTGTCTGCGGGCAGAGTCTCAGGGGCAGAAACTCCCCCGAGGTGGCCTCTGCCGTGTCTTGGTGCTCCCTGCACGACCTCCTGGCCCCACAGGCAGGCGGGTGTGGCCCGCTGGGTTTCTGGGCAACATCTGTCCCCACCTGACGTGGACCCCAGCCTTGGTCCCAAACCTCTCTTTCCCGTCAGTCCGCCCGCGGCAGGCCCCTCCTTGTCCCCTGCTGGCACTGCCTCTCCAGACCCACACGGAACTGCGTTTGGTGAGGAACAGCGCTGCTTGGAAAGGCGCCACTTCTGGACGGAGGGAGCTGGTCTTTGCTGCCTTGCCCCGGGGGCAGGTGATGCTCACACCTGTTACTCTGCACTGGCCTGGGTTGGAGGGGCCGCTGTGGCCAGACACGGGGCCACCACACAACTTTGAGGGACATCCCTGTGCTCTTGGCTGTAGCACCTACTCTTTTTCTTAGTTCTGCAACCTGAAGTTGTTTTCTTCTTTCTTTTGCCACCTTGGCCTGTTTTTACCAATCCTTCTTGTTTGTGCTGTTTCAGTTGCACTGTATCTTAGAGGACTGATCTTAGATTTCAGTGTGTTACATTTTAGAGCCACCTTTTGTGCTGGCTCCAATATTTAAAATGTAACATTTGTGTTGTGATTATGACTGTTTTGTAGTGCACTCCCCTTTACCCCAGTGTATTAGGCGAATAAGGAAAAAGCAGCGTATAGGCAGCATTATCTTGAGAAGTTCCTTCCCACCTGTGCCGACAGACATGCGTGTGTGCGGCCCCCCTTCGAGAGTGTGCACGGCAGAGCTGACCGTGCGGTGGGAGGACCCAGCTGGCTGTGCCATGTGCTCGTGTTCAGGAAACACGTGTGGCTGTGTGAGCCAAAGCAAACCAAGGGGTCATCAGGTTCTTTTTTGTTTTCACTAAAGGCCAGATTGTATTCGAGTCCAGAATAATTGTGAAGTGGTTCTAGTGAAACCAAGTGTTGTCACGAAACCTTTAATTTTTGGGAAGTCAAACATTAGACTATAAGAAATTGCCTGAAAATTGTTAGAATACAAATTGGTTAGAATTTTTCCATTTTTTGGCCACTGCCAGTAATATTATCTTAAGAGAATAGTTTGGAACCATACTGACTTGGATTTCAATCCTGATTTTGCACTTAATACTTTTGTGGGTTTGGAAAGATATTTAATGTCTAACTTGCAAATTTTCCTGTCTTTAAAATGAAAATAATAATATTTCTTAATTTAAAAATGTCAAAGATTAGATTAAACAGCACAAGTGAACATGCTCTTGGTGCCTGGTGTGGTTGCTGAGGTAGCCGTGACAGAAACGCCCACGTTGCGGGTGCCCAGCCGCCCGGCAGGACAGTGGCCCGGCCAGTTCACGTCTTCACGTATGCAGATTCTCCAGCCACGTCTGCCACGTTTATTCTCCAGAGAGAACAATACCCAGAACTAAATGCTCCTTGAGAAAAATCAAATCAGAGTCGTTTAAATATTAACAAAACAAGCACTTAACGGGTGGTGAAAGCATCTTCCTGTCGACAGCCTTGACTGGGAGGAGCTGTGTTGAGCTCAGGTTCAGACGCAGAGTGCGGGCTGGGGGTGGGCGGCCGTGGGCCCTGGGGCGGCCGTGGGCCCTGGAGCGCCCGAGCGTGCTCTGCTCCCTGCATGGGATTCCTGAGTGCCGGGCCGTGGCCTGGCGGTTTCTGTGCGTTGCTGCTTTATTGTTGGAGTGCTGAGTCTGTCCACTTCTCCAGGAATGAATTCAGGCTGAACTATGTCCCGAAAGAAGGAAATTCATGAGTGGATGTGTTCATTTGTCTCTGAAATGTGCTTTCTCTTCAGGTTGTGTGTGCCAGAAGTTCTGAAGTTGAAGAGCTGAAAGCCACTATCGAAAATCTGCAGGAGAACCAGGAACGATTACAACAGGACAAAGCGGAGGAAGTCGAAAGGCTCCACGAAGTCATTGCGAAGCTGCAGCAGGAGCTGTCGCTCATGGTGCCTGCGGTGCAGGGGGCCGGCGAGAGCCGGGTGGGGAGTCTGCAGAGTGAGCTGCTCTGCTCCCAGGCGGACGGGCCCTGCGGGCAGGTGCTGCAGGGTGAGCTCCAGGCTGCGCTCTTGGCCAAGGAGGCCCTGAGCCAGCTGCTGGCCGACCAGGCCCGCGGGCACTGCCAGGCCCTGGAGGCCCTGCAGCAGCGGCTGCGGGGTGCGGAGGAGGCCGCCGCCCGGCAGCTGGCGGAGCTGGGGCGCAGTGAGGCTCTTAGGGAGGCTCAGGTCGAGGGCATGGCCTCCCGGATCCGGGAGTTTGAAGCTGCGCTGAAAGCAAAGGAAGCGGCGATTGCTGAGAGAGACTCCGAGATCGATGCTGTGAACAAGTGGAAAGCGGCTCATTCCACCGCGCTGAAGGCCGTCCTGGCGGCTGTGGCCCGTTTCCGCCGTGCCCTGGAGCAGCAGCCCCTGGCCGGCCCAGCCGAGCCCCCCGAGCTGCAGCGGCTCCGAGCACAGTGTGTCCGGCTCAGCCGCCAGCTGCAGGTGCTGAACCAGCCCTTCCTGAGGTGCCAGCTGGAGCCGGACAGGCAGCAGGTGCACGGGGCCGCCGCCCGCACCCGGCCGCCCGGCGCTTGCCGGCACCCTGGCCCGGAGGGCGGCAGCGAGGTGTGCAGGGACGCGGAGATGCCGGAACAGGGCGTCAGCAGCAGGTGGTCGACCCCAGGTCTCCATGGCCGGGACCAGGACCTGCAGGTAGGCCTCCTCCTCTGTGGGTCTCGGGCGGTGGCTTCTGTGCCTGGGGCGAGGGGGCGGGGGGTCCTGGCCCTGGAGCGGGAGCGGAACGGGCTGCGCTGGGCTGGGCTGGGTGGGGGTGTTGGCTGTTCTCTGAAGGAGACTGGGTTTTTCCTTCTCTCTTATTCGTTTTCTCTTAATTTCGATGACTCTTGCTGTGCTGGGTGCGGGGGCAGGGGGAGGGCTGCAGTTGGCACTGGTGGCTTGTGACGCAGCAGAGGAGGGAGGCTGGAGCGGCGTCAGCCTGGGCCTGTCTGGGGTCTGTGCACAGTGAAACTGGGCTGAGCTGAGGATTTCACTATCTTATACAATGTTAGGCTTATTGGTTTTGTAACTTATTTAAGTTTTTAAAAATAATTCTTTCTTAAATATGATAGGGTTTATACAATCATATGGAGAATGCTTTATATTAGGCAGTGTTTCTTTTTTTTTTTTTTTTTTGAGACAGAGTCTCGCTTTGTTGCCTAGGCTAGAATGAGTGCCGTGGCGTCAGCCTAGCTCACAGCAACCTCAAACTCCTGGGCTCAAGCAATCCTTCTGCCTCAGCCTCCCAAGTGGCTGGGACTACAGGCATGCACCACCATGCCCGGCTAATTTTTTCTATATATATTAGTTGGCCAATTAATTTATTTCTATTTATAGTAGAGACGGGGTCTCGCTCTTGCTCAGGCTGGTTTCGAACTCCTGACCTCGAGCAATCCGCCCGCCTCGGCCTCCCAGAGAGCTAGGATTACAGGCGTGAGCCACCGCGCCCGGCCTTAGGCAGTGTTTCTTAATTTCCCTTTCTGGTTTCTAATCAGAGGCCTATCTTTCAACAAGTATTTCCTATGTAAAATGTTCTGAGTGCTTTTTGTCTTGGAGCAGAGGCTCTGTGTGAGTTGTCTGTCTTAGAATGCTCCGGTTTGCCATCTGCACCTGGCACCAGCTCTGGTGAGCTCTGGCCCGCCGTGCTCCATGGGCCACCTGGGTGGGAACAGCTTCTGCCTCGAGTCCTCGCTCTCTGCGGAGCTCGCTGTGCTGGGGGCTGCGCCCTCCGCGCTGACGTCCCTGCCGAGGCCCAGGCTCCTGCGCACAGGTCACCTGAGGACAGTCCTGGCAGCCGTCTCCAGCACCTCAAGTGTCACACTCTCAGCGCTAACCTTCCACACGTCGTCACTGTCTTCTCTGTCCAGGGTGACTTGCCGCCTGCCAGAGTCTCAGTGACGCTGAAGGACACGGGTCTCCACACGCAGGAAAGCGCCGAGCCGGTGCTCACCGTGGGCCAGAGGCAGCTGCAGCCAGAGCCGTTCTCGGTGAAAAATGAACTGCACTCGAGTCTGGAGGGCAGCGGCGTGGCGTGGGGAAGAGCGCAGGTACATGGGGGTGTATGTGGAGCTCCCCCCGGCGAGGCCTCTGCGTTCTTGCCGAGGTGAGGGGCCCACCCTGGGCTGCGCAGTGGGCTGCTCTCTGAGTCTGTCCTGTTCTGTGACGCTGCTGCTCACAGCTACGTGCTCCGTTTAGAGACATGCATTTCCCGTGGTCAAGCGCTTGTAAAAAGCAAGCAGGTAGAATTTCCTCAGGTCCATAGTTGGTGCAGATGGGGAGCTGTGCTCCAGCCTGTCTCTAGGTCTCTCTGTCGTGTGAGGACCACGTCACCCGTGTGGCGCCAGACTTTCATTGCCAATGTCTGTTTCACGTTCAAAGGCTTCACACTTATTTTTTGAACCTCAGATTTTTTTTTTTTTTTTTTTGAGACAGAGTCTCACTTTGTTGCCCAGGCTAGAGTGAGTGCCGTGGCGTCAGCCTGGCTCACAGCAACCTCAATCTCCGGGGCTCAGCGATCCTTCTGCCTCAGCCTCTCGAGTAGCTGGGACTATAGGCATGCGCCACCATGCCCGGCTAATTTTTTTTTTTGTATATATATTTTTAGTTGGTCAGTTAATTTATTTCTATTTTTGGTAGAGACGGGGTCTTGCTCAGGCTGGTTTCGAACTCCTGACCTTGAGCAATCCGCCCGCCTCGGCCTCCCAAAGTGCTAGGATTACAGGCGTGAGCCACCGCGCCCGGCAATGAACCTCAGATTTTACTTGAGAAAAAGTTGAGGTTTCTTTTCCTGGTGGCGGAGCCTTGAGCACACTGGAGTGCAGGGCGTGTCCAGAGTCCTGAGGGCCATGGGAGCCTCAGCGCTGCCACAGGGTCCTCCCGGTCGGCAGCTCTTGCTGCTGCTGCTGACACAACAGGCCCACGACTCCTCCTCCAAGTTCTGACACCCACAGGCTCTTAGAGCCAAGACTGGCTGGTGGTTTTGTTCTCCGAAGTGCGGTGCCAAAGCCTGCTCGGCACTGAAGCCCGCTCCGGCCCACGCTCACTGCACCCCTCGCGGCCTGGCTGGCGTGTTGTGCGTGTTGCTGGATGTTCCATGCATGTGCGTGGAGAGTGGGCACACTGCCATGCCGTGTGTACCACCTCGGTCTTTAGGACCTGAAAGGTTTTGAATTCCAAAGTGCACAGGCCTCGTGGTCTTAGGGAAGCACGTGGCCCAGGCCTGCATTTCTCGAGAAGATGCCTGACTCTGGTTTCGCACATCCATCAGGTACCCTCAGGAAACACGTGGTGTGTGGAGAGCCCTCCACCATCTCTGCACCACACGCTGGGCTCAGCGCCCTCACGGTCGGAGCTGTTGTTTGAATTCTTAAGAGAAAACTCAGCCTGTGGGGTCATGAGCTGATCACCAAATTCTTAGAAGTTATGGATCAACAAACTCTGCATTCATTACATAAATCACAGTTGTGTGTTTTTTAGTGTTCAAAGAGCCTTCTAGTACTTTTTTTCTCGCACAAACCTTGTGTCCTAAGTAAATTACAACAGAAATAGGTTATGATAACTGTCTTTATGTATTTATTTTTTGAGATAGAGTCTTGCTGTGTTGCCTGGGTAGAGTGCAGTGGTGTCATCATAGCTCACTGCAGCTTCCAATTCCTGGGCTCAAGTGATCCTCCTGCCTCAGCCTCCCCAGTGGCTGGGACTACAGGTGTGCACCTCTATGCCCAGCTAATTTTTCTATTTTTTGTAGAGATGGGGTCTCACTATTGCCCAGGTTGGTCTAAGACTCCTAACCTCAAGCAATCCTCCTGCCTTGGCCTCCCAGAGTGCTCGGATCACAGGCACAAGCTGCTTCGCTCAGCTAATAATTATTTTTTAAGCAAAGAGATTTAAGCTTTGATTCTGTATTTCATGGAATTAAATTAACTTGAAATGTTAAGCACTTAGAGGGGCCAAGGGCTCATCAGGGAATGATCTCCCCACCATGTGCTCAGACAGACACATTTGAGACGCCCTAGAGGGCTCCATTGTTTTACTGTGTGTATCCTTTCTACCTTCAGGGCAAGGAAAAAGTACTGGAAGATTGTCAGCTGCAGAAAGTCGACCTCATAGCTCAGGTGAAAGAACTTCAAGAAAAATTGAACCATCTGATATATTCTGCGACCTTCCAGGATGTCAGCACTGCAGACTTTAAATTTCAACAGCCGTTTGCATCAGCATTTGGGTTAGAAAACAGTTCGAGTGGTGGTTCCCACAACGGTGAAGAAACTGACACATCACCTCCTGTTGATGCATTTGATGCCGACAAAACCATGAGGGATCTAACTGATGCTGTTAAAGATGAGAACTATTTGATAAGAAACGAAATGCCAAACTTTCCCATTCAAGAAACATTAGAATTGCAGGACAGGCCCCATTCTTCACCAGCACGTGTGCTTGGCGGCGCCCGTGCCCCAAGACGCAGTGACCTGGCCGAGCCCCTGAAGAGCCCGGTCCGGGTGCTGGACCTGTCCTCCTGGAGCTCCCCTGAGGTCCTCAGGAAGGACTCGGCCCTGGAGCCCCAGCCCAGCCTCCTCCTCACGCCCCGCTCGGACGTGCTGAGCCTGCGCAGCGCGGACGCTTCCCTGCAGGACGGGACCCAGGCCTCGCTGCTGCTGGCCAGTGAGCCGGGGCTGCTTTGTCACCCGGGCGTGTCTGCAGCAGGACAGGCCCCACCGTGGGCAGGGTCTCCGCTGGCCGACCACCCGCCTGTGGAGAGGACGCCTGTGGTAGGTGCCCCTGCCCCTGGCCAGGGCTCCCTTGGGGGTGTGCACGTGGCTGGCTGGCCTCACGGCAGCTGCCATTGTTGACTCAGCACCTTACACACAGGCGCCTCACAGTGCTGTGGGGAGCCAGCTGCCCACAGACTGCTGTCATGTGCACACGGGGGCCTTTCGGGTCTCAGACACTGAGATGCGTTGGCCTCCTCCGAAGTTTGCTCTGCGCGGTCTCTCAACTGACGCTGATTCCAAGGGGCACAGCCGTGCACCATCTTCCTGTGTAATTTGCACGAGGGTTCTTTGGTTGCGTTTTTTAGATTTATTTTCAGTAGTGTTTCATATTTAACAGGTTTCACACATAATGTTAATTAATTTTAAGAATATTTCAATTTATTATTTTGAGTTAGATTCTATTTTTTCTAATAATTATTTTAGTATTTGGCATGTCTTGAGTAAGATAAGATAAAGAATAACTTAGCAGATACATATTATCAGAGATACCCATAGACTATCATTTCATGCAGAAAAGTTTTAAAATCTGAAATATTGGCTAGTGGCTACCTTACCCCTAAACAGGTGTGAGTGGGTCTGATTAAGTTATTAGAAGCAGGTGGCCTCGATATAGTCACGAGTTTGTGAGTACTTTCCTTGGGGTTCTATGCGGGAAGACGATGAATTCAAGCCTTAGGAAGTTTTCCTCTGGCAAGTTCAGCTCTGTGATGTGATTGATTGTTATTTCATGACCACTTAAAAGTGTCCCCTATCTGAACAGGAGAAAGATGTCGAAGATTTCATCATAACATCTGTTGATTCTCAAGAAACGTTACGTTCACCTCCTCTCAGGTTAGAAGGAAACAATGATGGAAGTGAAGAAAGTGAGTCAGTTACCTTTTTTTAACTTTTTATTTGGCAGTTTCAGACTACAAAGTAGTATAAGAAATTCCGAATGTCCTTCCCTAGCTCCCCAAGTCCCCTTTTGCCACGTGTGCCCCGCCCTGCCCTGCCCTGTGCCCCGAGACTCCTCAGGCTTTCCAGTGTGTGTCACGTGACCAGGGCGCAGTGTGATGCTGGGCACCAGGTCACCCACACTGGCGCAAGGCTGGTGTCCTCTGTAGACCACGCTCCGGTTTTGCCTGTTGTCCCAATAGTGTCCTTTACAGAAGACACCGGAAGCCACACACTGTTTCAGACGTCTTTTTGGGGCAGAGACTGGGCAGAGGCCCCCTTGTTTGTACCCAGGTGCCTTGGCCTCCCCACCCATCCCCTGTCCCCTACGTTGGGAACGGTCCCACCGTCTGTCTGTAGGTTTCAGAACACATTTGAGAGGGGTAGAGTGGTGACTGCAGCAATGTCCTCAAGACTGCACGTGGGGGCCGAGTGCCCCCTGGGCTTCGGGGCAGGAGGTGCGTGGAGTCTTGCGGCTCCCTTGCTGTGGTGGCATCTGCCAGGTTTTCTTCTTTTTTCGCAAGAGACTCCAAGGCTGTGAATGTTCTGCTTCTCCAGTTTATACCTGCTGGTCTGGGCCTCGTTGATAGCTTTTTAATTTTTTTTATTTTATGGGCACATGAAACCTGCTGCATGTCTTTACAGGGTACATGCAATCCTTTGGTGCAGGCATACAGTGTAGATTAATTGAATCAGGGTAATTGGGGTGTCCGTCGCTTCAGGCATTTGACATTTCTCTGTGTTAGGAACATTCCAATTCCTCTCTTTTAGTTATTATAAAGTATGCCCTAACTTATCATGGATTATAGTCAGTTTGTTGTGCTACCAAATTTTCATTCTGTCTAACTAACTACATTTTTCCACCCATTAACCATCCCTACTTCATCCCCTCCTCCCTACTACCCCTCTCAGCCTCTGGTAACCATCATTCTACTCTCTGTCTCCACAAGATCAATTGTTTTAATACTCAGCTTCCACATATGAGTGAGAATATTCGAGATTTGTCTTTCTGTGCTTGGCTTATTTCACTTAATGTAATGTTCTCCACTTTCATCCACATTGTTGCAAATGTCAGGATTTCATTCTTTTCTGTGGCTGTAGGATATTTCATTGTATATATGTACCACACTTTCTTCATTCATTCATCTGTTGATGGACACTTCGGTTGATTCCAGATCTTGGCTATTGTGAATAGTGCTTCAGTAAACGCAGGAGTGCGGTTATCTTTTCAATATGCTGAAATCAGTATGCAGTGGGATTGCCGGGTATATGTTAGTTCTATTTTTAGTTTTTTGAGAAACCTCCATACTATTCTCCATAGTGGTTGCACTATTTACATTCCCACCAACAGTGAACGAGGGCTCTCCTTTCTCCACATCCTCACCCCCATTCGTTATTGCCTTTCTGATAAAAGCCATTTAACTGGGATGGGATGGTATCTCGTAGTTTTGATTTGCATTTCTCTGATGACTAGTGATGTTGAGCATTTCTTCATACAGCTGTTGGCCATTTGTCTTCTTTTGAGAAATGTCTATATAAATCCTTTGCCCATTTTTAAATCAGATTATTTGATATTTTATTATTGAGTGGTTAGAGCTCCATATATATTCTAGTTACTAAGCCCTTGTCAGATGGGTAGTTTGCAGATATTTTCTCCCATTCTATGGGTTGTCTCTTTACTTTGTTGACTGTTTCCTTTGCTGTGCAGAAGCTTTTGAGCTTGATGTGATCCCATTTGTCCAGTTTTGCATTCATTGCCTGTGCTTTGGGGTTACTACTCAGGAAGTCCTTGCCCTGACCAGTGTCCTCCAGTGTTTCCCAATGTCTTCTTTTTTTTTCTTTTTTTGAGACAGAGTCTCGCTTTGTTGTTCAGGCTAGAGTGAGTGCCGTGGCGTCAGCCTAGCTCACAGCAACCTCAAACTCCTGGGCTCAAGCGATCCTACTGCCTCAGCCTCCCGAGTAGCTGGGACTACAGGCATGCGCCACCATGCCCGGCTAATATTTTCTATATATATCAGTTGGCCAATTAATTTCTTTCTATTTATGGTAGAGAATGGGTCTCCCTCTTGCTCAGGCTGGTTTCGAACTCCTGACCTCGAGCAATCCACCCGCCTTGGCCTCCCAGAGTGCTAGTATTATAGGCGTGAGCCACTGTGCCCAGCCTCCAATGTTTTCTTAAAGTAGTTTCATAGTTTGGGGTCTTAGATTTAAGTCTTTAATCCATTTTGATTTGATTTTTGTGTATGGTGAGAAAGAAGAATCTAGTTTCATTCTTCTGCATGTGGATATCCAGTTTCTCCTGCACCATTGAAGAAACTGTCTTTCCCTCCACTGTATATTCCTAGAAACTTTGTTGAATGTGAGTTCACTATAGATGTGTGGATTTATTGCCGAGTTCTTCACTTTGTTCCATTGGTCCATGTGTCTGTTTTTATGCCAATACCATGCTGTTTTGGTTACCACAGGTCTGCGGTATGATTTGAAGTCAGGTAATGTCATTCCTCTAGTTTTATTCTTTTTGCTCAGAAAGTCTTTGGCTAAAGTATCATGGTCTATCTCTCCTCAACCCACCAGAGACACTAAATCTGTAACAGTGAAAGACTGCCTTTGTTTTCTAAGATGTAAATCACTCAAAGTATATGGTATATAGTTTTTATCTTCGGTTTTAATTTTACAATCATTTCTGAATATAGAAGTTACGGCCAAGTACAAATTATGGTATCTATTACTTTTTAAATGGTTTTAAATCGTGTATCTTTTGTGTATGTATCTTAGATATTTGGCTAATTTTAAGTGATTTTGTTAAAGTATTGATGTCAGCTGTCAAGATGATAAGAATTAATAAATTGATTAGGGAAAAAAAAGGAAAGTCTTTGGCTATTCTGAATCTTTTGTGGTTCCATGTAAATTTTAAGATTATTTTTCCTATTTCTGTGAAAGAATGTCATTGGTATTTTGATGGAGATTGCACTGAATCTGTAGATTGCTCTGGGTAGCATGGACATTTTAGCAATATTGATTCTTGCAGTCCATAAGCATGGAATATCTTTCCATTTTTTTATATCCTCTTCAATCTCTTTCATTAGTGTTTTATAGTTTTCATTGTAGAGATCTTTCACTTCTTTGGTTAAGTTTGTTTCTAGGTATTTTATTTGTAGCTATTGTAAATGGGATTACTCTTTTGGTTTCTTGTTCAGATTATTTGCTGTTGCCATATAGAAATGCTACTGATTTTTAGATGTTGATTTTGTATCCTGCAACTTTACTAAATTTGTTTATGTTTATCAGTTCTAATTGTTTTTTTGTGAAGTCTTTAGGTTTCTCTAGATATAAGATCATATTGTCTGCAAACAAGAACAATTTGACTTCTTCCTTTCCAATTTGGATGCCCTTTATTTCTTTCTCTTCTCTGATTGTTCCAGCTAGAACTTCTAGTACCATGTTGAATAACAGTGGTGAAAGTGGGCATCCTTGTCTTATTCCATGTCTAGAGGAAAGGCTTTCAGAATCTTTTCCCCACTTTTGGTGTGATATTTGCTGTGGGTCTGTCATTTATAGCTTTTATTTGTGTTGAGGAAAGTTCTTTCCATACCCAGTTTCTTTGAAAGTTTTTATCACAAAGGAATGTTGAATTTTATTGAATGCTTTTTCAGCATCAGTTGAAATGATCATATGGTTTTTGTCCTTTCTTCTGTTGATATGATCAGTTGCATTGAAAGTGTTTGGGAAGGATGTGGCTAATGAATGCACAGTACGTTGATTGTTTGAGAAGTTCCATTCTGGTGATTTTAGTCTTGAAATTGAGCCACGTGGGTGACCTGAGACCAAGGTGGATAATGATGAGCTGAAAGCTGTAGTGGAAGCGAATCCATCTCAACCTACGTGTGAATTAGCAGCAAGATTTGACGTTACTATTCCAACAATATTGCACCATTTGAAGCAAATGGGCAAGGTAAAGAAGCTGAATAGATGGGTACTGCATGGATTAAATGAGCATCAGAAGAGAAATAGTCTTGAAGCTTGCCTTTCTTTGTTGTCATGACATAAGGGTGACCAAACTGAATATTTATCAAGAAAAGCTAATGGTGTCTGTTTTGTGGTCCAGCACTGGCATTGTCCGCTATAGTTTCATGAAACCTGGTCAGTCTATTACAGTGGATGTCTGCTGCAACCAGTTGGACAAAATGATGAGGATGTTTGCGATTAAGCAGCCGAGATTGCCCAAATAGCACAGGCTAGTCCTCTTGCAAGACAACACTTAACTACATGTCCTACAAAAAATGCTGCTCAAACTACAGATGCTAGACTTGGAAACTCTCTGTCATCCACCTTATTTACCAGACCTTGTGCTAACCGATTACCATTTCTCCCAGGCTTTGGACCACTTCTTGCAAGGAAAAATATTTCATTCTCAACAAGCTGTGGAAAACTATTTTCCCCATTTCATCGCCACTCGCTCTCCAGGCTTCTTTGCTGCTGACATAAACAGGCTATCGTTAAAGATGGCAAAACTGTGTTGACAGTTTAGGTGCACACTTTGATTAATTGTACTGCTTCTTGTTTGAGGTATAATAAGCTACACTGTTAATCAAAATTGGACATTTCATATTTAATGACCTAATATCTACATCGAATCATCCTTGCATCCCTGGGATGAATCCCACTTGATCATGATGAATAATCTTTTTAATGTGTTGTTGAATTTGGTTTGCTAGTGTTTTATTGAGGATTTTTGTGTCTACATTCATCAGAGATATTGGCTTAGAGTTTTCTTTTTTGTTGTGCCTTTGGTCTTGGTATCAGGGTGATACAGGCCTCATAGAATGAATTTGGGAGTAGCTCCTCCTCCTTGATTTTTTGCAGTAGTTTAGGTAGGATTGGTATTAGTTCTTCTTTGAATGCTTGGTAGAATTCAGCAGTGAAGCCTTTGGTTCCTGGGCTTTTCTTTGATGGGAGACTTTTCATTATTGCTTCTGTCTCGTTACTTGTTATTGGTTTATTCAGGCTTTGGATTTCTTCCTGGTTCAGTCTTGGTGGGTTGTATGAGTCTAGGAATATGTCCAATTTTTCTGGGTTTTGCAATTTATTGGCGTGTCGTTGCTCATAGCAGTCCCTAATGACCCTTGGACTTCTGCAGTGTCAGTCATAATGCCCCTTTTTCATCTCCAACTTTGTTTGGGTCTTCTCTGTTTTTTCTTAGTCTGGCTAAAGGTGTGTCAATTTTATCTTTTCTTTTCTTTTCTTTTTTTTTTTTTTTTTGAGACAGAGTCTCACTTGTTGCCCAGCCTAGAGTGAGTGCCGTGACGTCAGCCTAGCTCACAGCAACCTCAATCTTCTGGGCTCAAGCAATCCTTCTGCCTCAGCCTCCCAAGTAGCTGGGACTACAGGCATGCACCACCATGCCCGGCTAATTTTATATATATATATAGGCCAATTAATTTCTTTCTATTTATAGTAGAGACGGGGTCTCGCTCTTGCTCAGGCTGGTTTCGAACTCCTGACCTTGAGCAATCCGCCCGCCTCGGCCTCCCAGAGAGCTAGGATTACAGGCGTGAGCCACCGCGCCCGGCCTCAATTTTATCTTTTCAAAAAACAAACTTTTAATTTCATTGATCTTTTTTGTATTGTTTTTTGGGTTTCAATTTCATTTATTTCTCTGATCTTTATTGTTTCTTCTACTAATTTTGGATTTGGTTTGCTCCTGTTTTTCTAGTTTTATGGGATATATTGTTAGGTTGTTTATTTGAAGCTTTTCTACTTTTTTGATGTTGACACTTATTGCTATAAACTTTCCCTTTTTTACTGCTTGTGCTGTAAGTTTTAATATGTTGTATTTTTATTTTCAATTGTTTTGAGAAATTTTTAAATTTCCTTAATCTCTTCATTGACCCAGTGGTCATTAAGGAACATACATATTGTTTAATTTCCATGTGTTTGTATGTTTTCCAATGTTCTTGTTATTGATTTATAGTTTTATTCCTTTGTGGTCAAGGAAAATATTTGGTATGATTTCAGTTTTTTTGAATTTGAGACTTGTTTTGTGGCCTAACATACGGTCTGTCTATTAGGGTGGGAAGTGCTCTAGCAGGTGCTCACAGCGCGCATGGAGAAAGATTTCTCATGCAGAAATTAAGGTATAAAAGTAAAAATGTTTATTTAATTCTTTTAGAGGAGGAGGGTAAGAGAGAGAGAGAAAGAAAGGGGGGACAGGAAGGGGGAGAGAAAGAGGTGTCCTGGCATCCCAAGGAAAGAGAAGGGAGATGCCAACAGTGAGGCCAAGTCGCTCACTGATTTTAAGGGGGATGTAGAAAAAAAGTGCTGGCTGCCAGTTGATAACAAAAGCGGCAGCAGGTAGAGAGCAAAAACTGCAAGGATGTTAAAGTTGGAAAGTTGGCTTCCTGCCTTTCCTCAGGGAAGGGATTTTCCCAGGAGATGTGACTCTATCCTTGGAATATGGTTGAAGCTGTAGCTTGTTCTCCTGCTGTTTAATCAGGAATCTGTAAAAGCAGACTCTCAAACAACAATTTTGAAAGAGAGAGATTTACATTTCTTTCCCATCTGTGCTGCTTTTTCAGAAGTTGTGCAAAGCAGAACTGCAGGGTGCCTGTCAGTTCGAGAGCTCGAGAGTAACTGTTACTGGGGAAATTGTAGGATTAGGTGTTTTCCTGTTAGGTTTGCAAGGCCGCCCTTACGTGATCCTTGAGCGTGACCCATGAACTGAGAAGAATGTGAATTCTTCAGCTGTTGGATGAAATATTCTATAAACATCTGTAAGGTCCATTTGGCCTATAGTGCAGATTAAGTCCAGTGTTTCATTGTTGGTTTTCTGTCTGGATGATCTGTCAGTGCTGCAAATGGGGTGTTGGGCTCTGCAGTGACTAGTAGATTGGGGTTTCTCTCTTTAGCTCTGATATTTGCTTTGTATCTGGGTGCTCCAGTCTTGGCTGCACATTTGTTTAGAATTGTTACATCCTCTTGATGAGTTGACCCCTTTATCATTATATAATGACCTCTTAGTCTGTTTTTACAGTTATTGTCTTGAAATCTATTATCTGTTAGAAGTATAGGTATTCCTCCTCGTTGTTGGTTTCCACTGGTTTCTAGAAATATCTGTTTCCATCCTTTTATTTTCAGTCTTTCAGTGTGTCTTTGTAGGTGAAGTGTGTTTCTTGTAGACAACATGCAGTTGGGTCTTGTTTTTGTTTTTTTTTATCCATTCAGCTACTCGGTTATTTATTTATTTTTGAGGCAGGATGTTGTTCTCTTGCCTAGGCATGAGGGAAGTGGCTTTAGCACAGCTCACAGCAACCTCAGACTCCTGGACTCAACCTCAGACTCCTGGGCTCAAGTGATGCCCCTGCCTCAGCCTCCTGAGCAGCTGGGACTACAGGCGTGAGCCACTGTGCCCGGTCCTCCTATTTTAAATTTCTAGGAGCGGTTTCTTATTTCCTAACTGTTTCTTGCTCTTATCGCTTCATTTCCTGTTTCATGAACAATGTTCTTCTGATTTTTCTGAACATGTTCATTATAACTTTTCTGAGCTTCTCTTCTATTTGCTGTATTTACTCTTGGTTTCTTGCCAGCGTGCTCTCTGTTTCGTGTCAGGATGTTTCCTGTCAGGATGTTTCCTGTGCATGTCTAGGCTTGTGGACTGCAGCTTCACTCACCAGGGGGTGCTGTCTCCCTGGCGTCCTGTCCTCCGCCTGTGTCCTGAGCTGCTGCCCCTGCGTGGGTTGCTGTGGAGAGAAGCTGCGGGAAGATCCAATCCTGTTTTTCCTCAGGCACTTCCTCAGCTGCGTCTCTGTCCCTGACACGCCCCTGCCTTGCTTCCCTGAGTGCCTGCCCCCAAGCCCCCTCCCTCCCGCCAGACTGAGGAGCTGGTGTCTGGGTTCCAGGCCACGTGTGGGTTGCTCAGCCCCAGCCAGCTGGGTTTGGGCCTTGCCCCACCCGTCAGGCATGTTCTCTTTTCCTGAGTGGAGTGAGCTCAGACACCCATAGATTTATGTTTAAATCATAGACATTAACATACTAAACATGCTTTTTCTTAATGTGTGCGATTCTCATCTTACCACGTTTTATGAAAGTGTTGGTGCATCCTTTGGCCACCCCTGTGCTCCTCGGCGGGGTGCCATGGGCTGCGTGCCACTGGTCCTGTTGCTCCGCCCTGCGCCCCGCCATGCGTCTTCAAGGAACCCCCCACAGACCCAGACCCTGTGATGTCTTTAGGTGACGGCTCAGGTTTCGGAGGGAAACTGAGTCCACGATCAGGGGGACCCGAGGCTCCTGCTCATGGCCCCGTCTCCAGAAGGTCAAGGTCTCAACAGCTGCCAGGAGCCATGAAAGGGAAGGACGCCCACGCGCAGCACGTGAAGGTAGGGCTGGCGAGGAGGGCGGGCGCCCACCACACCTCCCACCTCTCCCTGGAGTCTTGCTGACTCCCTGATGGCGCCATCAGCTCCAGCGCCACCCTGGTTTGATGCCACTGGTGTCCGGACACGGGTCCCGGGAGAGGGCACCCGCGCCCCTGTGGCACCTTCTGCGCCTGTGCTGTAACCAGCAGAGACAGAACCGCAACTCCGCTTGCCGGATTTAGGGGTCACAGCTACGACCGTCTGTTGGGAAGTGACTGTGTTTTGTTTTTTTGGTCCTGGGGACTGGCCTTACGGTGGGTGACCATGCCTGGGCTGCCCTCTGCCCCCTGGGAGCAGACCTCCCTCAGAGCCCTGGGGACGAGTCCAGGCCTTTGTGTCCTGCTCTTCATGTTTTCCCTGAAGTCAGCACTTGTGGTTTGTCTCTCGGCTGGCTCCTGACGGGCAGGCCCCACCCTGGCTCAGCTGCAGCCACCAGGACTGTGTGCGGCCCCAACCTCGCGGTGTCCCCAGTGTGCTCCTTCCCATGTCTCCCCCGGCATCAGGAAGGCCACGGCTTTCCCGGGTGCCCGACCGCAAAGGCAGACCTCGTCCAGAAGCACATCCTGTCCCCTTGGAGAGGCCTGCCCTTTCCTCCCTGCCTGGCCCAGCTGGGCCTTGGTGGGCTGGGCCGTCCAACCCACCCCCACTGGGCCTCTGGGCACCGTCTGTGCTGGCCCCTGGGGGTGTCCTCCCATCAGGCAGGAAGAGCCCTTCGAGCCCGTGGGGGGCACTCGTTCTGGGGCACAGGCCAGGAGTGGGTCTCGCTTGCAGGTGGGGGGACTTGTGGGGCTGTCCTGGGAGTGTCTCCTACAGACATTCCCTTTCTAAAACTGGCCTCCTCACTGTCTCCGAAGGTTTTGGGGAGAAGAGTGGAGCCCACGGATGGGCCGCACCGGCTGCCATCTCCAGCGCTCCCCTCCTCGCGGGGTGGCGGCAGCGCAGTGGGTGGACAGTGGGCCGGGCCGGTTCTCCCGCTCTACGTGTCTTCCCGCCACAGGCCTTGCTGCAGATGGTGCGTGAGGAGAGCCGCCAGATCCTGGCCCTGTCCGAGAGCTGCGGGCCCCTCAGCGCTCTGAGCAGAGGGGAGCCACGTGCACCCCTGGACCCCATCCCCAGGGAGGGGCAGGGCCTCCTGGAAGCAGCACCCAAAAAAGGAGAGAAGGTAAAGGAATCGCTTGGTCCATAAGTGGGAAAATGCAGGCTTTTCGTTTTACCTAAAAAAAAAAAAAACCTTTTTTTAAAACCTAGATGTGAACTCCAAGAAAAGTTTTTATTTTGGACCTCACGTACCCCTTTTTTTGAAAGAATTTAAGGAGCTTACAGCAATAGCTCTGTCTGGAGAGGGCTGTGCAGGGCTTGATTTGGTGTCACTAAAAACAAGTGGAAGAGAATCCTGGACCCCCCACCTGGGGGCAGTTCCCAAAGGAAGGTCCTTGCTGCGGTGCTGGCTGGCTGGGGTGAGCTGAGGGTAGGCTGAGTGGGTCTGATCTGGTCACGTGAGGACTCGGCCTGGCAGGGTGTCCTCCCACCCCTCCCCTCCCCTGCCAGCCTCCTCCTGGCACCAGGACGCCGGCCCCGGGGCTCCTCCCTGTGCTTCTCTGAGCCGGGGTCAGAGCTCACCAGGGAGGGAAGGGCTTGGTCCTGGTGCCTGGAGCGTGCCTGGCAGACGCTGGTGCCCGCAGGATGCCAGTGGAGCGCCACAGTCCTCCCCATGCACCACCCACTGCCCTCGGCTGGCACAGCAGGGCAGCCCCTCCAGCTGCAGCCCCTGCAGACCAGGGCCTCACAGGTGTAGCAGCGGAAAAAGAAGCAAAGACGTTTGCTGACATTTCGCTCAATCTTGCTCTTTTCATTATCTTTTTCATGGTCTCTTCTCTGCTTACAATACTGGTTTGCTTCCTGAGCCCCCAGTGATCCTGGCACTGTGTGTCGTCTCTTTTGCCAGAGTGATTTCTGCACTGACAGCTGTCGGCCTGCGTGGCTGCCGCAGCCAGTTGGCAGGCCTGACTCTCCCCACTCTGTAGGCTGACGCCGGAAATCAGAGTGCTGGCAGGGTTGGGTTTGTGTGCCGGCCCTCTGGGGTTAGGGCTTCAGCGTAGATTTGGGGACACAGATGTTCGGTCCACACAACACCTGCAGAATGCATCTGTGAGAACACCAAGTCTCTTGTTTCGATGTTTTAGGAACTTTCCGAGCTGTGCCTTGATTGGAGAGGGGAGTTTCTGCAGGTTGTGCAGGAGGCGTTTGACAAGGAATGGAAGACGCTGAAGCTCCAGCTGCAGCCTGGGCTTGGCAGCGCAGACCCCGGGGGCCGAGACTGCCTGTTTGAGAGGCTGGAGAAGGTCGTCCAGGCTCAAGTGAGTGACAGCCCGGTGTCCATGCCTTGATTTATCCCAGGAGCCCCGCACTGGTGGAAAAGGAGACAGAGCCTGTTGAGTGTGTGAACTTCAGTTCACATGTTTCTCCCGGCCTTGGAATGTGGCTGTGACTAATGGAGTAAGTCATGCTTCGGTCCACACGTGACGCCTCGACTGCTCAGCACGGCGGGCTCTGGCACGCCAGGCCTGGCAGCTGCAGGAGAGGGTCCCGGAAATGAGGCCCCCAGGGGCCACTGTGTCCCAGCACCAGACTCACCAGCAACAGGCTTGTCCCGGAGCAGCTGGAGCGTAGGCTCGCAGTGGCGGGGGTGGGGCGGGGTGCATGGAGGTCCACACCTGGTGCTCAGTCTGTTCACCGCCTCCCGTGCCCCCAGGGAGACCTGCAGGAGAAGTCCTTGGAGCACCTCCGTGCGTCCGACAGGAGCAGCCTGCTGTCTGAGATTCAGGCTCTGCGCGCCCAGCTGCGCCTCACGCACCTGCAGAACCAGGAGAAGCTGCAGCAGCTGTGTGCGGCGCTGACGAGCGTGGAGGCCCGCGGGAGCTGGCAGGAGCACCAGCTGCGCAGGCAGGGTGGGTGCTGTGCCCATGCCCCCCGCCAGCCCCCCCGGCCCCCGCCTGTGTGGCCAGGTGTGCGCACAGGGTGGGGAGGCCCCTGGGGCTGCTCGGTGCGGTCTCAGGAGCCAGAATGTCCACTCTCGTCAGGTGCCTGCTGGGGCGTCGGGACGCCAAAGCTGCTGCGTTTCTCGTCTCTTGGAACTAAGTGGGGATCGTCCCGCGCTACCTGTCAGAGCCAGGAGGGGCCGGGCAGAGCAGGCCCCGCCTTGGGGGATGTCCCGTGCCGGGCACTGAGCGTGTTGGGCCCTGATTCTCTTCCATACCTAATTTAGATTCTTTGGAAATGTTTGTGTGGACTCAAGGGTCACCTGTGGATAAATGATGTTGTATTTGTTTTCTGCTTCCCATCCACCTTTTTTCTGTTGTGTGTCATGCTGGTCCGGGCCTTGGGCAGATGCCCTTCCTTGCCCCTGCTCTGGGGGTAGCGGCTCAGCTTGCACTTGCGTGTGGGGCAGACGCCCTTGGTCAGCGCGAGGAACCTCTATGTTTGGGTTCTATCAAGGGAGCGGCCTTGCGTTCAGCCAGGGCCTCTCACCTGGGTTTTTCCTTTTACACGCCGCCGGGCTGGGCTGGCAGCACCTACGTGCCCTGCGTGCACGAGGGCGCTGGTCTTGTTTCCTCTCCGTGCCCTTTCCTGGTCTTGGTGTTGGAGCAGTGCCAGGCCCTCTCCAGGATTTCTTTCTTTCTTTTTTTTTCTTTTTTCTTTTTTTTTTTTTTTTGAGACAGAGTCTCACTTTGTTGCCCAGGCTAGAGTGAGTGCCGTGGTGTCAGCCTAGCTCACAGCAACCTCAAACTCCTGGGCTCAAGCAATCCTGCTGCCTCAGCCTCCCGAGTAGCTGGAACTACAGGCATGCGCCACCATGCCCGGCTAATTCTTTTTATATATATTAGTTGGCCAATGAATTTCTTTCTATTTATAGTAGAGACAGGGTCTCGGTCTTGCTCAGGCTGGTTTGGAACTCCTGACCTTGAGCAGTGCTAGGATTATAGGTGTGAGCCACCGCGCCCGGCCCCTCTCCAAGATTTCCAGAGGAGTTTGTCTGGAACTGGGGTTATTTCTTCCTTAAGTTTTGGGAGAACTTTCCAGTGAAGCCATCTGGGCCTGGAGTTGTCTCTGTTGGAGGCACTCAGGGTAGAGTGGTGGGTTCGTGGCATTTTAGGATGTCCACAGAGAGAGTGGGACCTGGGAGGAGAAGGGCTTAGAGAATAGAGATCTCGGTGAGCGTCTTGGCTCCACCAGAAATGATGGCTTGTAGTTCATAGAAACTTTGTTTCTTCCCAAAATGAATACCTCTCCATCCCCCCACGGGTTTGTTTCTGCTTTAACGTCACTTACACAGCTCGCTTTGAACCCACAGATGATGCTGTTTGATGTTCTTTACTCCTTTCCAGTTGAGCTATTGGCATATAAAGTCGAGCAGGAAAAATGCATAGCAAGCGACCTGCAGAAGACCCTCAGCGAGGAGCAGGAGAAAGCCAACGGGGTGCGCAAGCTCCTGGCGGTGGAGCAGAGCGCCGTGAAGGCTCTGAAGTCTGAGCTCTGTGAGTGCAAGCAGGAGAACGAGAGGCTGCTGAAGTCCCTGGACGCCGTGCAGCAGGAGGTCCTCCAGCTGAGGTGGGGTGCTGGCCGCGGTCAGTCCCGCACTGTCCTCAGGGGTCTATTGGCTGTAGATGGAAGTGTCCTGGTTGTTGCCACGATTTTCTTGGCCTTAAAGCAAAACAACCTCTGGTGTGCTGTGGTGTGGTGTGGCAGCATGTGGCCCCGCTCTCCTCGATTTGCGGTCTGGGCGGGAGGGGTGGTGGGAAAGTGGCCAGGGTCTGCCCTGCCGACCTGGGAGCTCCCGGCCCCGGTGTTGGCCCGTGTGTCCCTGTCAGCGTCTCTGATGCGAGGCACGGGGCTGCCTGTCGTGCCCACAGATCCATGCTGGACGGCAAGGAGAGCGACCTGCAGGCTGCGCTGCGGGAGCTGGAGAGTGAGCGGGGGAAGGAGCATGCCCTGCAGAGCCGGCTGGAGGAGCAGCAGCTTCGGCACCTGCAGAGGGAGGGCCAGAGCTCCAAGTCCCTAGAGGTAACTGCCGGTGGGCCGAGGCTCGTTTCCCCAGTGTGCCCAGCTGACAGGAGTGTGAGGCAGAGAGAAATTGTCCCTTTGTGGTGACAGACATAGGGTGGGCAGGCGCAGTGACCAGGGATGGCTGCCCCCGCTCTGCAGTGCCCGCTGCCTCGCGCATTTGGTCTGCGAGGCGGACACAGCCTCCTCGCTGGTGGCCCTGGAGGTCTGTACACAGCAGATGAGTGGCGGGCCACGGCCACTCGCGGTGTTGCCTGGCTCCAGAACAAGCCCACCGCAGCTCCACGGGCTGTGGTGTGGGCTTCTCAACAGCACGGAAGCCACAATTCACAGCAAGCGGGACGTGCGTGTCCCTGAGCCTCCTGGGTGTGTGGCTTTCTGAGGGGCGTCTCTGAATCCAGGACGTGTGTGCGTTTACTCAGTGCCGGTTCCAGAGGCCTCCATCACACAGCGAGGGTGGCAGGGTGACAAAAAATCTCATACTTTGATCCCCAGGATAAATTTCAAAAGGTACAAGTGCTGGGTTGGAGTACATAAACAGAAATTTGGACAGGAAACCATTCAGATACTTTCCTCTTCATTTGACGTTCCCATCTTTTCACTGACCAGGAGTTGAGAGCGTCCCTGGAGAAGCAGCGTGCACAGAGCAGCCGGCTCTGCGTGGCGCTGAAGCACGAGCAGACAGCGCGGGACAACCTGCAGAAGGAGCTGCGCATCGAGCACTCGCGCTTCGAGGCCTTGCTGGCGCAGGAGCGGGGCCAGCTCGCCCAGCTGCAGAAGGACCTGGATGCGGAGAAGAGCCGCTCGCTGGAGCTGTCGGAGGCTCTGCAGCACGAGCGCCTCCTCACGGAGCAGCTGAGCCGCAGGACGCAGGAGGCCTGCGCCCACCAGGACACGCCGGCGCCCCAGGCCCTGCTGCGCAAGCTGCAGGAGGAGAAGGCGCGCGTGCTGGAGCTGCAGGCGGTGCTGGGAGAGGCGCAGCAGCAGGCCGCGCACGCGCAGCAGCAGCTCGAGGCCGAGGCGCAGACGCGCTGTGAGGAGGTCCGGAGAGAGAAGGAGGTAAGTGCCGCATTGAGGTCGACCGTGGAGGCGCTGCAGATCCAAAAGCGCGAGCTGAGATGCTGTCTGGAGAGAGAGAGGGAGACGCCAGCGTGGTTGCAGGCAGACTTAGCACAGTCACACACTCGCTTGAAAGAGCCAGAAGGACGCGAGGACACGCGGAGCGGAGCGCAGACGAGGCAGAGCCGGGCACTCGCGGGGAAGTGGAGGAAGTGGCAGAGAGAAAAGGAGAAGCTGGTGAGAGCTCAGCGAGCCCAGCGCGGGAGGGCGAGGACGTGCGGCGACCCTGGGACGGGAGGGCGAGGGCGCAGGCGGAGGACGCCGCGTCTGTCCCGGTGCGGCCCCACGCGGTCTGGATCACTCCGGCTGTGGGGCAAGTTTGACGTGGGGGTGCGATTCCTCAGCATTGTTCTTTCTCATGATTTGTTTTGGTTGTTTGGGGCTCCTTGCAATTCCACATGGATTTGAGGACTGGCTTTTCATTCTGCAGAAATCGCCATTGGGATTTTGGCAGGGGTTGCACTGAATCCTGGGCCGCTTTGGATAGTGTTGACATCTTAACAATCTTAAGTCTTCTGATCCGTGAATACAAAATGTCCATTTATTTAGGTCTTTGATTTCTTTCAACAGTGTTTTGTAGCTTTCAGAATATAAGTTTTGTGCTTCTTTTATCAAATTTAGTATTACGTATTATTTTTTCATGTGGTTGTAGATGGAATTATTTTCTTAATTTTATTTTCAGATTATTCATTGCTAGTGTGTAGCAATGCAGTTGATTTTTATGTATCAGTCTTATATCCTGCAACCTTGCTGCACTTGGGTATTATGTCTACTATTTTTTAATGGGATTTTCCCTATACAAGATCTTTGTGATTTTTCCATATGTAAGGAAAGGTCTTGTCAGCTGCAGATGGAGGTAGCTTTTCTTCTTCCTTTTCAGTCAGGATGTCTGCTCTTGCCTGGCCACCCTGGGGGATGGTACAGTACAGGCGTGAACAGAAATGGCAAGAGCAGGCTTCCCGGCCTTGTTGGGGGGAGGGGGCAGTTTTTCACTGTCGAGTACAATGTTAGGTGTGGGTTTTTGTAGATGCTCTTTATCATAGGTAATTTTCTTCTACTCCTTGTTTGTTCAACTCTTTTTCAATCATGAAAGAGTTTTAGATTTTGTCAAGTTTTTTTGGTGTCTGTTGAGATCTGTGGTTTTTGTCTTCTGTTGTAGTGATATGATAAAGTATCACATTGATTTTCATATGATGAACCATCCTTACATTCCAAGGATGAATCCCACTTGGTCATGGTGAGTAATTCCTCTTAGGTGTTGCCAGCAGTTTGCTAGTATTTTGTTGAGGATTAATAGTCTGTATTTTTCCAGGGTATTGGTCTGCAGTTGGTCTGCTCTTGTGATGTCTTTGGTTTTAGGATCAGGATAACATGGCCCGTCAGACGGGCTGGGAAGTGCTCCCTCTTCTTCTATTCTTCGTGTGGCCCTTACGTTTTAGATACATTTTAATTCAACCAAGAGCCTTTGTTTCCAATAAAATAATACCCTCTTCTGGACTGACATTCGTTTTATCCTCTTTAAAATTGTTTTAAAAGCTTTTTAAAAAATACCTCCTCTATTTCTGTTTTTTTTTTTTTTTAATTTCATGAAATTATATAAAGTTTTTAAAAACACAAGTAAAACCAGCGCCCTGGTCTTTTTAAGTGGTTAGCCTTCCATAAAATAATTAAGAAATGAAAATCTGTTTCTAAAAAAAAAAGCCCTCTAGTTTTCTAAACTTTATAAGGATAAATCAGATTACAAAATGTATTAGTTTGGTTAAGTGCATATCATGTATATGATTGATATTCTCAACAACTTTTTGAGATATAATTCACATACCTTTCAGTTCACCAATTTAAATTGCACACTGGTTTTATTCAAAAAGATGAGCAAATATCACTACAGTCACTTGTAGAACATTTGCATCGCCCCAAAGTGAAGGCCACACTGATCAGGGAGTCACTGCCCATCTCCTGCTTCCAGCCCCGCAGCGACTGTCTGTTCTCTTTCTCTGGAGAGAGGCCCTTCAGGACACTTGGTGTAAACGGAGCCTGCGACCTGTCGCCTCTGTGTCTGGCTGCTTGCACTTTGCATGATGTTTTTCAAGGCTTGACTGTGTGTCAGCAGTGATTAAATTTTTTGCTGGTCAGAAAACCTTCAAAATAGAGCATCGTATCATTACAAGTCTCGGAAAGTAGAGATGCACACAGTGGGGCGCAGTGTGGCCTGGAGGGGCCGGGCAGTTTGGTGAGGTAGGTGAGGGGAGCCCTTGGGGCCTAGATGACTCTGGACCTGGGGCCGTGTCGGGGTGTCACATGTGTTTCCCTTCTTCCTCAGGGACTCTCAAAGGCACCTTTCCTTTCTGAGAACTTCCCCAAACCGTATCTAAAGCTTCTAGCCAGAACATTTTATTTAATTTTGATGTTTTTATAAAAATCTTAATGGTAACATGATTGCTTAAAAAATATAAAGAAAATGATTTATACGTTGAATTAACAGCTATTCTTCATGTTGCACTTGATATATATTTTTAGTGATACAGCCTTTTGGAGTTATTTTTACCACAGGTGATTTGGTCTGGATTATAGAATCCTTCTCTAGCTGTAGCTTGCTGAAGCCTCCCAAGATAGGCATTTCAGGGCCAGTTTCATCTTTTCTGGACAATGTAAACTTGTCAGTTCCTCTGCGTCTGACTGTCATCTGGAAAGTAGATAAAGTAATAATCCTTGCTTGCTTGGGGGGCTCAGGCACGTGGAGTGAGGTGATGTTGGGAGGGTGGGTCTGTGAGCCGCACCTGTCACCTCCCCAGGTGGGGCCTCTGGCCTGGGTGGCTTCCCTGAACCTTTCCTGGGCAGGGAGCCTGGGCCTTCGCTGAGGCCACCACGCCCTCCTGGCCCTGCCTGCTCGCTCTGTCCCCCACAGTGGGAGCCGGACCTCCCATCCTGCTGGCCGCTGAGGGTAGGCTGATGTGCAGAGAGGTCAGGCCAAGGCCAAGGGGCCATGTGGTGACCTGGTTCCCACTCAATGCTGTGCTCAGGCTCCCTAGCAGGTCATACGTGTGCACTCGCGCGCACACGTTCACACGCATGTGTCCGTGCCCAAGTGAGTGGGGCCAGTGTCAGCGCTGCAGGCGCCCGAGTGCTTGCTGTAGGCCTGACAAAGCCGAATCGTTCTCAAAAATGAAGATAAAACGTTTACCATGGAGACTCGGGCATAAGTTAGCGGCCTCTGAGCTGGAGGCGCCCAGAACGCCAGGGCGGTGGCGTATGTGGCGGGTTAGTTTGAGGGGTCGTGCTGGAGACACAAGCAGAACAGGACCCCTGCCCCGAGGGTGCTGCTTGTGACCCGAGGGTCTCCCCGTGTGCTGCTGTGTGCTTGGTCTTTCGCTCAACAGCTGTGCCTTCAGAGTGCTCACGAGAAGGGCTTTCGTGTTCCCTTTGCCGTGAACAGCGAGAGCTAGAGTTGCAGCGCCAGCGTGAGGAGCACAAGATCCGCCAGCTCCAGCGGACGGTGAGAGAACTGGAATCTGAGGAGGAGGCGCTCCGCAGCGGCGGCCACCGAGGCACTCCCCGCGGGGCCCAGGGCGCAGACGGGCCGGACCAGCTCCGGGAACAGCAGCAGGAGCTGGAGAAGATCCGGCAGCAGCTGCTCTGCGCCGCAGGGCTGCTCACCAGCTTTGTGCGCCAGACCGTGGGCAGGTAGGCACATGCGCGTGGTGCTCTCGGGTCCGTGGGCCCGGCCTGCGTGCCAAAAACCTTCAGAAGTGTGCAGGGTGCCCGGTTTCAGGCCCACGTTCTAACGAGCTCACACTCTCGCTCTCCGAGAGTTTGGACTCTCCTGGAAGATTGACAAGGTCGTGGTTTTTCACATTCCCATATGGGAGAAAATCTTGTGAAACAAAACACACCTGACCTTGGGTTCAAGTTTCTCGCAGGTTGGTTCTCCCCACACCCCTGCCCAGTCACTCACCACCCAGGTCAGCCGCGTGTCTGCGTCACTGAGGCCCCGGCCGCCGTCGCCCGGCTGGGGCGCAGCAGTCGCACCATCACAGAGCCGAGGCGACAGTGAACAGAAAAGTGAATGTTGATATTTGCCTCCTCTCTGTACACAGAACTTCAGCTGGCATGGTTCTCCTGCTTATGTGTGGACTTAATTTATACAGCAACGCAATTTCCAAGCAAAGTTTCACCGGGGACAGCAATTTTAATGATTAATTCAGCGAGAGGCTGTGTGCGTGGTGACGCGGACGGGCGGTGGGTGCAGCAGACGGTCCCAGGGCAGAGGTCCCCGGGCGCCACAGCGGCGTTTGCCATGGGCCCTGCCCCCTGCGGGCTGTTCCTCCGGCTCAGGCCGGATGAAGTGACTCTCAGACACGCAGACTCCTTGGGACCCCAGTGGTGTCACTCGTCTCTCCCAGGGAGGCTACACACACCGTTCCTGTCTCTTCCCGAGCAGGGAGTTCTGAAGTCGCTTTGGGCAGCCGTCACTGGGGAAGAGTGTGAGCCCTCAGACACCCTTATTTTGACAGGACCATCAGTGACTGGACGTCGTCCAACGAGAAGGCAGTGGCGTCTCTACTGCGCACGTTAGAGGAGCTGAAGCCTGAGCTGAGCAGGTCCACCTCCCTCAAGGTGAGCCGCGGGCTCCCCGTGCCCTGTCCCGCTGCCCTGACGTTTCCTGGTTTCTGTTTATTGCTGGTCGCTTGTTCCTCCCTCCTTTGTTGTGTGAATATGCGAGCAGGCGCCTGCCCCGTGGGTGGTGTGGGCCGTGTGGTGACGGGTCCCGGTGCATGTGCTGGGACACCGGGCTCAGCCATGCCGCCCATGGGATGCTGCTCGGCTGTCGGGACCCTTCCTCATGGCGCTGCTGCACATGGCACTTGCTGCACACGGCCCGGACGCCCTCGGGCCATTGGCTTCGAGGGGCCATGGGTCCTGCTTGCTGTGTATTTATGTTGATGCTTTTATTGGAAACGAAAACCAAGTCCTCCTTGGAAATCCTGAGCTCACTGTTAGCTGCCTCTGCCAGGATTAGAAATCCTGGCTGACGTCAGTGTTCCGTGGCATTTACGGAATCATAGTGTTCGCCATGGAGGCAGTGGGCAGTCAGGCAGTGGGAGGGCTGTTCCACTTGCCCCCGCTGTCACCGTGGGTGTGGTGCCTCCCGTCCCTCCTGCGGTGGGCACTGTGACTGTTCAGTGTCTGCACCCTCTCTAGGCTGGACACCCTTCTGGTTGTGGGAACGACAGACCTGTGTTAAGGGACACAGACGCTTGACCCCCCAGGATGAGCAAATGGGATTCCCTGGCCACCTCGTATGGGCTCTGTGTGGCACCGTTCGTACAGTCGGGAGGGGGTGTGTGACCCTTTCTAACGAGCCTACACTGCTCACACAGCCGTTTTGGGCAAAGTATGTTTTGTAGAAGATGAGAGATAAACGTGATTTGGCGAATTTGATTATTTCCTGCCCCTGGGTGGCAGCTCTGCCCAACACCACAAGCTTCCCACCAAACCCCAAACAAGTCTAAAAATTGGAACCCCTAAAAATAACCAACGGCAATGAAAAACACAAATGATATGCATGCCTTTTAACAAAAAGATTCTTATAAATTTGTTTCTTCTTTCCAAGAAAAAAAAGGCAGCAGAGCTACAAGTCCAGCTGGTGGATGTCTTGCTGAAAGACAACGACTCCCTCACAAAAGCACTCAACACAGCGGCCGAGGAGAAGTCGGAGCTGAGCAGGGCCGTGTCCAGGCTCGAAAAGACCCTGAGGCATCACGTGCAGAAGGGCTGTGTCCTGAGCGTACGTATTTGCACCTTTTCCTCACGTGGGAGATGCAGGCCCCTGCCCACTGCCGCCTGGGTCTAGGGTAGTTTACCCGACGGTCAGCTGGGCTTCCTCCACGCATGGGCCGTGTGCGTAGCGTCCGTGTTTCCTGGCAACCACTGTGGGCTGCGGCCTCGCTAGTCCGAGGTCCTGCTGAACGTCCCAGAATGTTCTACTGGACATCTAAGCACGTTTTCTGCTTTACCTGATGTGCATACACAGTGTCACCACCAATCCTAGCTGCAATGTGATGTTTCTCATGTTCATAAAAGGATAGTTTGGCTAAAAATATAAAATCTGATCAAGTGAGAGTTTTATTTGGCTGTTACTTAATTAAAATGGTTTATTACTTTCCTAATAATGTAGTTTATAGGCTTTTTGGAATGCCTAGTGTTTTCTTTTATATTTGAGCTGTTTTTCGTTTGTGATTTGCTTTACATTTTCTATGATGAAAACTTTTTAAAAATTAGTTTTTTATTTGCATATGGTAAAATTTGCCCTTTTTGGTGTGATGGCATGTAAGTTCACTATGTGTACAGATTCTCATAACCCGCATAAGAACTAACAGAATTCAGAACAATGCTGACGCCCAGAAGAACTGCCAGCAGGCGCTGACCTGGGCTCCTTCCCTGAATGTCACGTAAACCGAGCTGCACGGTCTGTGACCTGCCGAATTGGCCTCTTTCACTTCTTAACTGTGCATCTGACATCCGTCTGGGATGTCTGGACGCAGGTTCCGTGTTCTGGGCACAAATGTGCAGGACGAGGTGGCAGGTGCGATGGCTATACTGTGCCACGAGCCTCCCGGCAAAGCTTGAGCGTCCCAGGGACTGCGCCTTGGCATTCAGTGCTCTGGGTCCTTTTTTTGTACCAGCTCTGACAGGCTCGAAGCCGTCTTGTTGTGTTTTCTCTGTGCTCGTCCCTCTTGACTAAAGTCACTGAGCACCTTTCCTGCCGTTTTCAGATTGGACTGTTTTCTTGTTGTTGGATACAACTCCTTCGTCAGGCTGGTGATTGCAGAGATTTTCTCCCCGTCTGTGCTTGTCTCTTCCTTCTCTGCGTAGTGTCCTTTGCAAAGCACGTTTCTGATTTTGATGAAGTCTAGTGTATCAACTTATTTTTTTTTATGGATCATACCAAGAGTTTTATAGTTTTACTTAGAATTTAGAGCTATGATCCATTTTGAGTTGTCTTTGCTTATGGTCTGCAGGATAGGCAGAGGATGATCTTTATACAATTTGGGATCTTTAATGTGAAGAGCAGCCCTTCCGCCATCGGGGGTGACACAGCCAGAAATACAGGTTTCATCACTTACGGGTTCTGCCTGGAGGGCACCCTCACAGGGGCACTTGAAGAGAGGAGATGGAAGGGACCTGTGGGCCAAAGCCTTTTTTGGGTCAGGGTATTATCCAGATAGTTTTCCTGGGAGGAGTTTTACCTGGTGGGTTTAGAGCAAGCAGGCAAGGGTTGTGGGGACTGGGAGCCGGTCACTGGGGCACGTCCGCGCAGTCCACACGGGAGCCTGTCCCTGAGGTGAGCAGGGCAGGGTGGGGCCTGCGGGGGAGCAGCAGGAGGAGGCAGATGTCTGGTCAATCACCCTGCGGCACTGGGGAGAAGGCAGACAGTGGGAGCCGTGTTGGGGTGGCCGAGCCCCTCTTCTGGTGTGAGAAAGCCCAGCTCACATTCAGAATGGACGCCAGGGCAACACAAAATTGTAAGCATCACCACAGTAATACCCAGGTTTTCTAGCATGCTTTGTTGAAAAGACTGCTCTTCATGGACTTGTCTGTGTAAAAATCAACAAGGAGTATTTGCATATTATTTCTGGGCTCTGTTCCGTTGGTCTATGTATATGTCCCGTACCAGCTGCCTGATTAATGATTAATTGTATCTTCACATTGGGTAGTGTGAATTCTCTAATTTTTTCTCGTTTTTAAAATTGTTTGGGTATTCTGGTTCCTCTACCTTTCAGCATAAATTTTAGCATCCTGGTTTTTTAAGTTGGGATTGTGTTAAATCTGTGGATCAATGTGGAAAGAATGAGAATGTAAAATGATATAGTTCTTTGAAAAACAGTCTGGACGTTCCTCAAAAGTTTAAACATAGAGTTACTGTATCACCCAAGCAATTCCACTTCTAGGTATTTGCCCAAGAGAAAAGAAAACGTATGTCTACATAAAAACTTGTACACAAATTTCATGGCACCATTATTCATAATAGCCCCAAAGTGGAAATAATCTGAATGTCAATCAGTTGCTGAATGGATAAACAAATAAAATGTGGTATAGTCAGTCCTCAGTATACTTAGGTTCCATCTCCACAGAGTCAACCAACCTTGATAAAAATATATTTTTTTGGCCGGGTGTGGTGGCTCACACCTGTAATCCTAGCACTCTGGGAGGCTAGGCGGGAGGATCACTCAAAGTCAGGAGTTTGAAACCAGCCTGAGCAAAAGAGAGACCCCGTCTCTAGTAAAAATAGAAAGAAATGAATTGGCCACCTATAAATCTATATAGAAAAAATTAGCCGGACATGGTGGCACATGCCTGTAGTCCCAGCTACTCGGGAGGCTGAGGCAGGAGGATCGCCTGAGCCCAGGAGTTTGAGGTTGCTGTGAGCTAGGCTGACGACACGGCACTCTCCCGAGCAACAGAGTGAGACTGTCTCAAGAAAAAAAGTAAAATTATATTTTTTTAAAAAATGAATAAAAAATGACAATAAAAATACACATTTAAAAATTTACAGAGAATACGAGGGTGTTTAAGGCTTAAAGCTTTGGATTTGGGGCTATTTTTACAAACATTTATTTTCGTGCTTCTTTAGTACATGGCGTGTGCCAATCACCCCGAGTGTCACTTATCTGGCTTGTGCCACGCGGCACCTCGGCACTGCTGCAGGGGTGCTAGAGAGAGGGGCGCCAGGCCTGTGTCCGTGTGGCTGCTGCGGCCCCCACTGGGTCCCGGCATCTGGGAGATGTGCACCCCGCCTGGCACAGGCCTGGCCACCCCCCAGCGTGGGGGCCTCCCCTTGAAACAGTCTTGGGGCACCATGAAGAAATGAGCGTCTGAGCCCCCAGGGAGGGTGGGGGTGCTCGTCTTCTGCCTCACCTGCTCTCGGTCGTTTTCCTCGAGCCGTTCTGGTCGCAGAACACTCTGGATGTGGTTAGTTACAGAGGTCGGACAGGCCTGCAGGGAAGCAAGACCGGATGGTGCTGCAGAGCTCACAGCACTTGGACCTGGGACGGCCCCCGACAGCCGTGGGTGCGGACGCAAACACCTGCAATGTCAAGGTAAGGCCTGAGAGCAGAGTGGGGGGTACAGAGCGTTGCTGGTGCTTTTCTAAAAATCCTGGGTCAGTTAATTGCAGGCAAAAGCATTCCCATGACCACAGAGTTGTCGTTTGCTGCGTGTAGTCGCCCATATGTGTACCAAACGCCCACCTGTTTACACAGGTTCTAGCAGTCAAGGCACCGCAAAAAAGGTTTGAGAAAATAAGCTTTGATTCAAAACTTGGTTTAGTTGTGTAAGAATACCGAATTTCTCTGCCCACGAGTCTAGGGTGGGATGTGGAATGCTTTCCAGACCCTGGATTTGCAAGTCCCGGCTGTTGGCAGTGTGGGGCCAACTGCTCCTTCTCTTGCAGGAGCAGCTTATCAGGCTTTGGATGCTGAGCTCTGCACTGCGACCTGTCTCACAGCGCCCGCCTTGTGCCTAGTCTGGGCCTCACTTGGGCGGGTGAATCAGCGATGGTACCGTGGAGAGGAGTTTGTGGTTCTAGATTTTGTCTGATAAACTCAAATGCATCTTTCAACAGCAGGGTGGTTACTGGCTATAGACGCTGTGCAAGGCTCCTTCTACGATGATTTGCTGAGGAAAAAACCAATCTGGTTCTTTGTAAAGAGCAACAGTATAATGTGCTTTTGTCAGCAAGATGTCTTTGTTTCCTACGATTAAGTTTTACTGTTTTTTTTTTTTTTTCTTTTAGATGGAAAAGTTATACCTGCATTATTTGAGAGCAGAGAGTTTTAGGAAAGCTCTGATTTATCAAAAGAAGTATCTCTTACTATTGATCGGTGGGTTCCAGGATTCTGAACAAGAGACACTCTCCATGATTGCTCATTTGGGGGTATTTCCTTCCAAAGCAGATAAGAGAATCACCACATCTCGTCCTTTTACAAAGTTCCGCACGGCTGTCAGGGTGGTCATCGCAATATTGAGGTAAATGCCACCACATCCAATCCACGTTTCTGCCTGTCTCTGTTAACAGGCAGCGTACTGCATGATTTTTAGGTGGTTTTATTCCTTGAAACTCTATAATAGATTCTCTTTGAAGACAAATGGCATTTGAGGCCTTAAAGAAAACACAGATGACTCTTGTCTTCAAGAAGTCATGTTGCGTGAAACTGTCACTTTCTAATTCTAAAGATTTAAGTCCTTCTTATTATTACAAAGGAACGCCTTGCCTTTTAATGGGTTTCATTTCAGGACTCTTTCTGACAACAGGCACATCTGATAATTTACATTTCACTGTGTAAATTTCAGTTTCCTACGTTTCAGTCAGATTTGTGGTACTTACGAGGAGGCCAGGTGCACAAAACTGGATTCTCCCAGGGTCACCAGTCCTGGGCCCGCACGTGTGCCTGTGGGGCGCGGAGGAGCCGCCCTGCCTCCCTCGGCAAGGCCCCTCCGCCCTCTCTTCCCCCCTCGACCCTGACCCTCCTGAGTGTCCCAGATCCACCCACCCTGTCTCCCCTGGAGTGTGTCCTTCACTTACTCTGCACAAGGCACCATTTTCACAGCAGGAATGCAGCACCCTAGTGTTACTGGAAATTCATTTCATTTTATAGTTTTAAAATTTGCTGAATTTCCAGAAATGTTTGTCCTGCTGGATCTGCTCCCTGACACAGAGGTGCCTTCCCAAGGCCTTGCTCCGGCCTGTCCGGGGTAGTGGACACAGAGCGTGGCTCAGAGTTCTGCTCCTTTCATAGACCAGGCCAAGCTGGTCCAGGTGGAAGTGGGGGCAGGAGAGACTTCCCAGGGTGCTACCCTCTCAGCCTTCTCCAGCCTCGAGGCACGTAGTCCCCTCACCTCTGAGGTCTCCTGACCACAGGCCACCTGTCATCGCTCTGTCCACCCACCCTCCGTCTCTGTGGGAACAACAGGCTCCAGGAAGTGTTTGAGGTGCTAGACGGAGAAGGGAGGCCGACCCAAACCCTGCCTCCCCGGTCTTCCTGTGACGGACGGGAGACCATCTGAGAGCAGCTTTGTCCCAGACAGAAGCTGCCCTGAGGGCCCTTTGGAGAGTCTCATCTGGGAGTCCAGTGTCCACCGTACTATGGAGCAGGGAAGCCGCAGGTGTGAGGGGTGTCTTGGACTCGCACCCTGTGCTCCGCCTGCACCCGTTACCTCACTATCCCTGCTTCCTGGCTGACTGGCTCCCAGGAGGGCCAGAGCCTCCGTGTCCCGAGCATCCGGGAGACGTTCACCCCGCCTGGCACACCCCTGGCCGCCAGGGGTGGTAGGGATGGGGGGGGGTCCTGGGAGCCAGGCAGGGTGCCACGTGGCTCCCACGCACTGGGTCACATGCCGAAGTGAACCAGAGTCAGGGTCCCGGGCTGTGCTGTGGGGGTGCCTGGGAAGAGCCGGGTGGTACCCGCAAGGGGCTCAAGTGCTGTGGGACGGCTGCTGCCGGCCAGGCGCACAGCGAGCTCTCCGTGCATGCGTCCAGCTGGTCAGGCCTGAGCCAGCCGAGTCTGCACCCAGCAGGAGCAGGCTTCCAGATTCTGGTCGTTTGGTCACAGTGGGATTCTCATTACTGTTTTGCTCTGGTTTTGTCTCCTTTTTTTTATAGATTACGTTTTTTGGTTAAGAAATGGCAAGAAGTAGATCGGAAAGGAGCCCTAGCACCAGGCAAAGCCCTCCGCCAAGGTGGGACCTCAGCTGCTGTCGTAGCTGTAACTCACATGCCCTTCCCCTTCCTGTAGCAGCAGTGAGATCAGGTTCCTGCAGGGAACGTCAGCGAACAAGTGGCTCGGAGGAGCAGGCCAATGACCAAAAGACACGCAAGTGCCAAGTGTGTCAGTTCTTTAATAATTAGCATTTAATAAGACAGTCTTTCTTCCATCCTGAGTCACCTGAAGCTCCCTCCCTTTGGTGTCGCTGCGTGTTTGGGGTAGTCAAACCTCATCTCCAGCTCTCTGCAGCGCATGAAGCTGGCTGCACCCACAGCAGAGCAGCCGGCCCCAGAGCAGGACATGCTGACGGGCCTTTGTCTCCGTCCCTGGGCGGCGCAGCAGGCACATGGCACACGGAGCACGCAGGGACGTGAGCCTCTGGCATGCTGGGCCTGTGGGGCCAGGGCTGCCTGAGCCACTGCCGATCGCCACGGCAACTGGCCTTTCCTGGCAGTGCCACATCAGTTTTGACTTCTGCACTTTCATAGTTATTTCTTGAAATTAAAATGCTTTGATTCAGCCTTGAGACAGGTTTTCCCCTCCAAGTTACAATGGTGGTCTCCAGGGTTTCTGCACCCTTCCCCTGAGCCTGCTCCTCCCAGGGGCAGAGGTGCCCCCCCCCCCCAAGGCCTAGCTGAGCTCCCCCCCAGCACCCTCCAGGCTGCCCATGTGGACACCGGGCACTTACAGCCTCACAGGAGTAAAATTCAGGTGCTCAAATGTCTTCTAAGTTTTTTAAAATACAATATTATAAACCTTAAAAATGTTTTTAAATTGCCATGCAGACAGAATTTTAAAAGCTTGTAAGTTTTAAATTTTGGTAGATGGGTGTTTCTACTAAATGTGTTCATTTCTTTTCCTAATCCCTTTGTTGTTAAATGACTCTGGGGCAGGACCCAGAGCGCCCCTGCGGCTGCGGTCTCCTCCCGAATCCAGAGAGTCCATACCGACCCGGGATGTGCCTTCAGGTCACACCAGGGACCCTGCCCGTGGCCCCAGACCTGCGACAGCAGCCTCCCCGAGCAGGAGGGGAAGGTCAGTTGTGATGCCTTCAGGCTTTTCTGCCTCTGCCAGTGATCTCTCCCGCCTAAGGCTCCAGCTTCGGCCAGGACCGGAGCAAGGTGGGAGACACCCAGCATGCCTGTGGCAGCCACAGGTCCAGCCCCGTTCATGGGAGGACAGGGATGGTCTGTCTGGTGGCCGTGGTGCCCCAAAGCCCAGGATGGTGATACTTACTGAGAGTCAGTGGTGGCTGAGGGTCTTTTTCTGTAGAATGGTGTAAAATACCATACAATAGTTTTTACTCATATTTTTTTTAACTCTGGAATATTGTATAGAAGTTGGTTTCCAAAGCAAATTCTATACATTGTATATATGTAGCACTTCTTATAAAAAGCCTTACTTTTTTCTTGTACGTTAAGAAAGGACCGAAGAGGCTGGGTGCCCTGGCTCATGCCTATAATCTTAGCACTCTGAGGCTGAAGTGGGAGGATCACTTGAGCTCAGGAATTCGAGACCAGCCTGAGCAAGAGCAAGACCCCATCTCTATTAAAAATAGAAAAATTTGCTGGGCACAGTGGTGGGTACCTATAGTTGCAGCTACTTGAGAGGAGGCCGAGGTGGGAGGATTGCTCAAGGTCAGGAGTTCAAGACCAGCCTGAGCAAGAGCGAGACCCCGTCTCTACTAAAATAGAAAGAAATTAGCTGGACAACTAAAAATATATAGAAAAAATTAGCTGGGCATGGTGGTGCAGCTCCTGGGGTGGGGGGGGCGCTAAGGCAGGAGGGTCTCTTGAGCCCAGGAGTTGGAGGCTACTATGAGCCAGGATGACGCCACGGCACTCTAGCTTGGTGACAGAGTAAGACTTTGTCTCAGGAAACAGAAAGAAAGGACTGAAGTAAACACCCTGGCGTGAGCCACCCCCAAGTGCCTCTGGCCAGGCAGGGCCTCCCACCCGCTCACCAAGGTCAAGTTCAAGTTCAGCTTTTGGTTTTGTTTTTCTTCTTCTCCCCCTCGGTGTGGTGGTTTGCCTGAAGATCCACTCCATCCCCACATTCAAGATTAGAAAGATCTCTGACTGCTTCTGAAGATCCAGAACATTCCTTGACAGAATATATTCACCATTTGGAAACGATCCAGCAAAGACTTGGGGGGTCACCACCAGGTAACGGAAGTCCTTCTCCAGCTGTGTATTAAAGTACTATGAACGGATGCTGGAAGTGTAGGATAATGCCAAAAAGACTGCTAGTATTCAACTTGGTGATTGTTAGTTTCAGTCTTAATCAGTGTCACTGACAGTATTAGATGATAAGTGAGGAAACCTCACACACATGTAAACAAACATACTTAGCAGTAAGTGTTGGGATCAGTTTGACTTGATCACTACCTGGACTTTTTCATCCTTTCTCTTACTGATAGGAAGCATAATTTGTCCAGTGTTTCTTAAACATCATAATTTAAGCCACTGTGTATTTTTTAAATCACAATTCATATTTTTGTCAAAATTTACATGAACTCAGTGATAGTGTTTCAAAATTGTGAAATTCTCTTTAAAAGATGAAACTTTGTAACAAATTGCTGCCTCATTTTTATTTATATTTAGATTTTACTTCAAAGAAATCCTGCCATCAGAAGAGTAAACAATGAATAAAATCCTTGTGGCTCTCACCTGGGACAGTTCTATTTGAGAAAAAGATTTACTCTTCCCTTTTGTCAAGGCGGCTTTCCCTTCACGGGTATGGCCAGGTCAGTGTCCTCTGCTGTGGGGGGGTCACTGCACAGCCGGCAGAGCCTTTTCTGTGTCATCTGTTAGTTCTCCACCGTCCCGAGGTCACAGCAGTCCACGACCAGCACGTGGGGCTGTGCGGTGCCTGTTGGCAAATCTGCCCCGCCTGCCCCTGAGAAGGGTAAGCAGAGAATGGCTCCTGTTGTTTATTTTTTAAAGTGTACAGATGGAAATTTTGTTTAAAAGCACACACACATACAAATAAAACCAAAAAGAAGGAATAAAATGTAAGCACTATTTCATTTGAGAAGAGCCCTTGCACTGTTTTTGGTTTTGTCCAGTTTGCTTTTCTCATTGGCAAAACAAAACACAGAATTAATGTTAAACTCCTATAAGTGAAAAACTTCGGTGGAACTCAAAGCGCCCCTCCCTCAGCAGAGACAAAGAGCTACTCGGCTGCTGCTTAATCATACTGGGTCTCTTATCTCAAGTTTTTAAAGATGCTGCTACTGTTTATCTGCTTCTCATGACTGTGGTCTTTTGTGTTCTAATCATACTCATTTGTACCATGTAGTAATATCTAGCTAGCATCCTTTACCCAAAAGATGAACTGAGTATAGTTATAAGTATCTCAGAGGTTTTTTTGGACCTGTGAACATGGTATTTATTTGAACATATTTATTCTTCTGGGGTTAGGTTTTAATATAAAATGACTTTTTTCTAAGTCACTACTTGTTTTGGTGATAGATTTCTCTTTACGCTTTCAACATTGGTACATGTCTGTGTTTTCTAATTATTAGTCAGTCAACATTACTTATGGTCGCTGTTTCACAAACTTTCTGCCTTTTCCAAGAAAGAAATTTCCACTCTCTGCTTGATGTTGCTGAAGCTGAAATCCTAACGAGCCCAAGAAATGTTTCTTCATTTTTAGCATCCAGAATAATGATTAAAATTGATTATCAAATACTCAGTAAACACCCATGTATGCCAGAGCTAAAGGGGGGGCTCTTTTAAAGCCCCCATGGAGGCGGCCATCACATCAGCCTGTTACCATGGAAGCAGACAGTTAACGAGAAAGAGGCATCATCCTGCCTTTCCTGGGAAAGGGTGGCTGTTCCTTGTGGACGAGGGAAAGTTCTTTACAGAATAATGCTGACAGTTTAACCCAGAGAACCACCATTCTGCACCCCAGTGAAGTGATCCCTCAGGTCAGACTCGGCACAAGGTGCTAAAGCCAAGGTGAAGTCTCACTTTCACGGTGTGGGTGTCTCGCAGTCCCACCCTAACCACAGTGTCAGACTAGCGTCACGGATGACCCGGTCTCCAGTGTTTCCAGGCGAGATGCCGTGTGACAGGCACAGCAGCACCCATGGGCTGGTCTTGCCAAACACGCTTCCCTCACGCGGAACCAAGCCTTCACGCCTGACTTCTAGTTTATAAATGGGGGAAAAGAGAAACAATGAGGAAAAAGAGAAACACGGGATATTCTACAATTAACTGGCCTAGTTTCATCAAACATGTCAGTAGGAAAACATAAGTGAGAGTCTGTCCTGGGTGAAAGGAAACAGAAGACACACAAAGGCAACACACAGCACTGGATGGTTTCTAAATTGGGCAGAGGGGGCTAGAAAGACATTTTGGGGGTAATTGGGTAAATCTGAATCCATACTGGATAGATTTTAGGGGGATTATTGTTCATTTTCTTAGGTGTGACAGTGGTTATGTAAGAGAGCGCTGCTTTTCTTAGGGAGTATATCCTGAATTATTCAAGGAGAGAGCAGCACAGCATACACGGCTTGCTTTAAAATAAGTCAGCTGAAAGATACACACATTTGCACATGTATGTGGGTTAGGTAAACATGGGAAAATATTTTTGAAATATTAAATCTAGGCTACACATGGTGGTTACAGGCCTATAGTCCCAGCTACTCAGGAGGCTGAAGTGGGAGGATTGTTTGAGTTGGAGGCTACAGCGAGCTGTGATCACGCCACTGCACGCCAGCCTGGGTGACAGAGTGAGACCCTATCTCTACATAAATAAATAATAAAATATGAAATCTAGTTTGTGGGTATGTGGCTGTTTATTCTAGAATTTTCATAATCAAAGATTAAAAAATATATCATGATCAACTAGAGTGTGGCCCAGGAATGCCATGATTGAACACAGGGTGTTAGAGTCTAGTCTGGGAAACAAACCATGAGAGCTTTTCAGACAAAGGAAACTTAACCTAAGGTTTGGTTTCTCTGATGATGGGAGAGTGAGACGTGAAGTCTGGACCCATCACCTTGGGGCTGGAGGAGCAGTGACGTTGTTTCGGGAACTCAGGGCCACAGGAGCTGCACTCACAGAGGAGATGCATCAGCCGCCAGAAGTGCTGCCCAGGTGGGAGTGAGAGGGAGGAAAGTGCCAGTCCTGCTCTCCTGCCCTTCTGCGTGCCGAGAACCGCAGGAGTCAGCACCTGTGCAGCACAGCAGCATCTGTGACCAGAGTGCATGGTGCCGACCCCTTTGGTGCTCAGTGTCTGCTCTCACCTTTCCACCCACATGTAATTACCAAAATGTGATTCAGTGCACCTCCTGATGTGAGGCAAACATTCTTCCTAGCAAGAAGATGGTTCTGTCCTCTCCAAGGCCCGTGAGGTGTTGCTGTGCCAGGTGACACACAGTCTTCTCCTTCAGGCCCAGGTCAGACTTGGGAACCAGTTTGTGAAGTTTATGCACTGCTAACACGTCATACACAGCTGGGAGGGGGTAAGAAGGGGGAAATGTTCGGTGTCTACGTTAACAAAACAAAACAAAATGCTCCAGGTCTTGTTTCTCTGGTTAGTCACGAGGCTCTGCCTGGTGTTTATTACCTTCTCCTTCCATCACCTAAAGCCACCAGTTTCACTCCCATGATGATCTCCTAATCCATTAATCTTTGATCTCATGCAGTGCCCTCATTACCCAATCACCCTAAAGACCCCACCTCTCAACACTACCACACTGGGAATGAAGTTTCCAACACATGAAATTCGGGAGACACATTCAAACCACAGCGTGTTCCATAGGCAGCAATCTGTTCTCTGCTGGACCCAGCAGCAAGTCAGATGTTTCTCAGGTGGAGAATGAATCAGCAGCAGAAGCAGGCCAAGCTCTGCTTTACAACTCTGGTGGTCTGCCCTAGTGCGACTTCACAGTGGGACATCCTAAATTGCAAAGATGCTGTCAGCATCCTTGAAACTTCTAGGTCATAAAAAGCCTGAGTACAGAACAATGTGCGTCAAAGCTACAGTTCTTTTGTTGTCCAGGTCCTACCTGGGACTAACAGCCTACAGGTTATGGGTTCCTCAGTAAATAGACTGGAGCAGCACACCCAAATATGATTCACATTATATTCAAAACACAAACAAGCCAAGTCTTCAGCCTTTCTTGGTTGTAGGCAGTGCACGGTATAGCCACTTGCCTCTTACTTTAGAGGAGATACAGTGGTGTTCCACTGACTGCTCAATCCCTAGACACTGCCAAAGTGCAGGCCCAATTTTTCACCATCTGGCATACATCTTACTGAAGCATTTAGGGTACTGACCACTTCCTGCTCACTAGGACCAAATACTACGATCTCTCCAACATAGAGGATCAAAATAATACATCTAAAGAAAGACCCTAAGATAATACAGAATGTACTGCTGTCTCTACCAGCTGAAACTGAATTGACCATTTTTGCTAATTGGTATTGGAAAAAGGTGATAAGGAAGCCTGAATATAAACCTTTTATAATTGCACCTGCGATAGGTACCTTCAAAGAGATGCTGATGCTCAAAACCATCAAAACCACCTTCACTGCTTCTGGACCCATACCAAGAGTCTGATCCCAATATAGCCTAGAGAAGTACAAGGTCTGCTATGGGAGGAGATGGCCTATACAAGAAATCATAAAACTAGACTGTAAACAGCAGCATTCCAGTGAAACTAGAAAGAGCATATACAAAACTACCTGGACAGATTCAGAAGGCACAGGGAAGCTCCCTATGACAGTGGACACAAGAGGAAAAAGCATTAGGTTTGTTCTACAGATGAATCTGTAGGGTATGCTGGCATCAGCCAGAAATACTAGTGTAGGGGGGTGGGTTTTGGAAGATTTTCAGTTGGTGAAACTTGGGGTGGCACATCTGGTGGCCCATCTCGTGAAAAGAAAGGTGACCTGAGTTGCTGATCTACTCATGTACAGGGGGTGAGTGAATGTCCAGCTGGTCAATGACATAAAAAAGACTGCAAAGATTGGTTTCAATGAAATCTTCAGCACAAGTATCTCAGTAGATTTCCCAGAGTAGACTAATTGAAGATGTGTGGTTCCACATAAATGCCTACCATCCTCTGTAGAAATGAAATTTGATGGACAAGATGACCTGTTCTGTGGATGTCAGCCAACCACTTTCTTTGTCCAGCACGGTGCTTTCCGAACAAGCTCTTATAACAAGTGGCAGGGAAGGAGGCTTAGCATTGATACGGCAGCACAGATTTCCCCTCACCAGGACTTCCTTGGTTTCTGCCCCTTCAGCACCTGAGCTGCCAAGAGCAGAGGCCAATCCTGAGGACTTGGTATGGTGACCTGGTTCCTTCCATTACAAAGGAGGCAGTGATCTGTCTCCCAGGAGTGGACACATCAGGTGTAAGTAGGCCTCCCTGCCCTCAGTGCATGTGCCAAGCCCACTATGCGTGGACTTACAGGATGCTTTATCTGTTGCGATAGTTCTGCACCACACCACTTCTTAGCAGCAGGTATATTTTAAAGTCATGAAAGTGCAGAAGTGAGTTCACACTCACTCATAGAATTCACTGGTTTTCACGTACCCCATAAGCCAGAAGCAGAGGCCTGACAGAGTCGACTGGCCAGCTGAAGGCTTTCTGTATCAGCTTGAAAATCCCATTTTGAAAGTTTGAGGTGATGTTTTATGGTGTATGCCTTAAACTAGGAGCACGTGTATCATGCTATCTCCCTCACAGCCAGACTGCAGGGGTTTGGGAACTAAGAGGCAGAGTCTCTCACTATGTGTACAAGTTGGATTCTTTAGTCCAGGGATCCTCAAACTTTTTAAACAGGGGGCCAGTTCACTGTCCCTCAGACCGTTGGAGGGTGCGACGCACATTCCACACATGCGCACTGTGGGCCCAGGACGAGTCGGCTGCTAAGCAGGACAGGCAGCGGTGGCAAAAACACCCAGCAGGCTGAATAAATGTCCTCGGCAGGCTGCATGTGGCCTGCGGGCCGTAGTTTGAGGACGCCTGCTTTAGTGTCTTAGTCACAGTTGGGCAAAAGAATACTCAGATGC